GATGGCTTGGTGGTAGAGCATCTGCTTTGCATGTAGAAGGTCCCTGGTTCAATCCCCAGCGTCTCCCCAGGTAGGGCTGGGGGAGACCCCTGTCTGAAATGCTGGAGAGCAACTGTCCAGACAAGGCAGTACTGAGCTAATGTCCCATATTGTGACTTTTCCACAGCCCAATAATCCTCTACCCCACCAGACGTTCATGACATGTTGTTCGTGTAATGGAAACCCCTAGCTGCAATGGGGAAACAGATGCTTTGGATCCCAGCTCCATCAGCCCCAGTCAGTATAGCCAATAATCATGGTCAATGAGGGTCGTAATCCATCTGGAGGGCTGCAAGTTCCCCAATCCTGACAAGGTTTTCCATATTCTGGTGCACCTCACTGTGACAAGGGAAGCTAAGGGGGTGCTTTAGCAGATGGCGCTCTGGTCTAAACCACTGAGCCTCTTGCACTTGCTGATCAGAAGCTCTGTGCTTCGAATCCCTGTTTTGGGGTGAGCTCCCGTTGCTCAGTCCCAGCTCCTGCCAACCTAGCAGTTTGAAAGCACACCAGTGCAAGTAGATAAATAGGTACCGCTGCAGCAGGAAGGTAAACAGTGTTTCCGTGCACTCTGGTTTCCATCACGGTGTTCTGTTGCACTAGTAGGGATTTAGTCATGCTGGCCACATGACCCAGAAAGCTGTCTGTGGACAAATGCCAGCTGCCTCGGCCTGAAAGCGAGATGAGCGCTGCAACCCCATAGTCGCCGTTGACTGAACTTAACCGTCCAGGGGTCCTTTACCTTTTACCTTAGCAGATCTGCATTTAGGATAAATTTAGTAAAGTAATGAGAGAGAGAGTTCAAGTAAGTTCTGCCACCTTAACTCACTTCATTGACTTTCGTTTTCTCTCCCGTTTTCCCTCCCACCCCCATTGTGCCACTTTGAGCTTCTTTTTAAACAAATGCACCTTCCTAATATTTTTGTATGATAGAAAAAAGCAGGATTGTTAGACAGATTGCAGCATAAGTACACAAATCTGTATTGTGACATTTACTTACCTCTGTGTGTGTTTTCTCACTCTCCCTAGGCTGTGGAACAAACAGCGCTATCCCGAGCAGTAATGTTTGGTACAGCAATATTTTTTCCAGAGGTTGCTCTGCAGCTCTTAAAGCGGTAAGGCATCTTCAGTGTAGGTCCCTTAAACAAAACTCCCATTACCTTGCTACTGGAGTGGTCCACAGCTATTCTTATTTCTGCCTCTTGCAAGTTTCTTCACATTTCTTGGATCAGAGAGAGAATGTGGCGTCATTCTCGAACATGAGTCCTGCCCCGACCTGTCGCCCTCCAGATATTGTCTTCCCCATCATCCCCAGACATCATGACCAGAGGTCAGGGATGATGGGAGTTGTAGTCCAGCAACACCTGGAGGGCCACAGATTCGGAGACAGAAGCAAGCCACTGACTTGTAGAAGTCTCTGCATCTTCTCACAGCAGTAGGCTAACCTCAGGGATTTTCTCACATTCTGCAGAAGGTATCGTGGGTCTCTAACCTGAACACATTTACCTTGAGCATAACCATGGGAATGTAAACTCACAGGTGGTAAAAGCCCTAGTGGGAAAAGTCTGAGATAATAGGACACTTTGTACTTTGACCCAGGAGAAAGAACGTAATGTTCCCTTCAACTTAAATGCCTTGAAGGATGAGCCAACTGTCCCTACAGTGTTGGATTAGCAGCAGCTCATAGCTGTCTTCCTGAGCTATTCTTCCAAATGCCTTCCAGCACTCCTGCTCCTCAGATAGCTCAGTTGGTAGAGCATGAGACTCTTAATCACAGGGTTGTGGGTTTGAGCCCCGTGTTGGGCGAAAGATTCCTGCATTGCAGGGAGTTGAACTAGATGATATTCGTGTTCCCTTCCAACTCTACAATTCTGTGATTCCATACAAGAGAGCTTGTGACTGGTTATACAGACGCCTATATGGTACCATGCTATATAATAATCTACCCATGCAATCTCTTTTGCAGCACGAGCAGTTTACTTCGAAAGCCATTTGTTTTGAATCCGCTGAGATATGTTTTGACAGTTGCAGTCCTTGGAGGAATGGTACCCGTTTCGCTCAGTTGGATGCCACCGATTGGCAAGGTAGTTCTTGCGTTCTGTTCTCTTTGCAAATCTCTGCTGGCAGTCTTAAGGGCAAAAGGCATTGAAAGAATCAGAAAGGCAGAAATCTACCCAAGCTGGGTTTGCATGTGACTCCTTGGAATTTTCCTTGTAGCAGCTCCCAGTGTCCCTAGAATGGCTGTGTTTTAAATACGAGTTGCTATGGGGAAAAGAGATAAGAAAACCTGGATGGAGCACAGGGCCTGATATGATGACTAAGTTTTCAAATACTTCCACATAAAAGGTGCAGATTTGGCATAGGGGGTGTTGTGTCTCCTGAAAGTCAGATGCCTTAAAAAGGGGGGGAGGGACCTTTGAAATAAACATTTTGTGAATCTAAGTTTGGTCTCATTGAGGGGCAGTATTTCAATATGAGTAGGAAAATGAGAGTACCCCTAAACTTTTAGAAAAAAGCACTGCAAAGCACTATTATACCACTTTAAACAGTCATGGCTTCCCCCAAAGAATCAGGGAGTTTGTTAAAGCTGGAGTGGAGTCCCTAAGTCATTTGGATGGTGTCTTGCACCCTTCCTTCTGGCAACTCTTGCACCCAAGCTGGTGCCAAATGTATTGCTCTGCTTTCCTTTGGACCACTTCAGCAAAGCCAAGATGGGGGACATGTCATCTGGGCAGCCTAGGACCTCCATAGACACTGTGCAGGCTTGCTTCCCAGCGACGTCACTTTGGTATTGCTAGTGCAGCAAAAACGTGGGAGGGCAACAGTTACAAGCTTCTGGTCTCTGCAGCCACAGCTCTGCACCCCCAGAGGCACACTCCATTGCCTCCCGTGACAGACAGATACCAACAACAAGTTTGTTAAGGGTGCTGAGAGTTGTTAGGAGGCTCCTGTTTCCTCACAGAGCTACAATTCCCAGAGTTCCCTGGGAAGAGGGATTGTTAAAACACTCTGAGAATTGCTGATGGGGCCTACCTCTCAAGTTAATACAGGGGTTTGTCTCCTGTTCTAGAGACTGTATTTGCTAACCTGTAACTAGAAACAGCATTGAAATGTGGCACGTCAAACTGAAACCCTTTCCTCAGCACATTTATATTTCATATTTATTTTCAAGAGGGATCGACTTCTGAGTAGTTCTGTTGTCTTCAGTGCTAATGCTTCAGAGATTCTAGCATAAGATTTGTGTTATACGATTCCTGTAACACACTTATTTTGTGTGATGATCCTAATGGAAATATATTGACTTATCCTTGTGCAGAGAGCTGTGGTGTACATAAGAACTGGTAATAAGTTTGAAATTGTGAGAATTTCATGTCTGTTTTCCAGATAAAAACAAGTGATCTTGAACCTGAAATAGCCGCTTCCACGGAAGAAACAGAAGTCTTCTACTACAAAGGACTTTAATGTGGGCACTTGATAATGACCAGGACTGCTGTTCCTGGTATATTGAAGTTGCATATTCAAACTTACGGAAGTGAACATTTTGGTATCTTTCACCTAGGAAGCTGATGATTATGTTGAAAGATATGAATCAACTTTTGATCAGACCCATCTTCTGTATATCTGTTTAATGCAAAATCTCTACCTTCTGATGCAATCATGTATGAAAAGAACAAACTACATTTTGTTGAGAAAACTCCCAACATATTACTAATGCCCTTCAATAGGGAAAAGGTTTAATTGTGTGAAATACCTGTGTGTATCCATTGAAAGCCTGTGGCAGAGAACAAAAGGACAATTTAAAGTCCCCTCCCCCCCCCCAGGCACCCAGTGATGCTTTCAGTGAATGCCAACTTCAGAGGACTTCACTAAAGAGAACATTATGTGATCACTACCTTCTGGTGAAATTTAAGCTGCTTCCCTGGTTGCGCTGGATCCTGGTTAAAGCTTCAGAAAGGCTATGCAAATTGTACTGTGGTTTACCCTTGGCAAGAATGTTGTAGCTTGTGGCGTGGGCCCTACAAACTTCCCTACCTCGTCACAAAACCGTTCACAGCTTGTGGCTTGGGAGCAGCTTTCAATAAGGGAAGTATTTTCTGCATAGAAGGAAGGTGCTTAAAGTGCTGTGAGAGGTGTTTGGGGTAGAGGAACTAGAGCAGTAGCAGCCAATATGGCACCTGCCAGCTGTTGCTGGACTACAACACCCATCACCCTAACCACTGGCCCTGCTGGCTGCAGCTGATGGGAGCTGGCATATGGAGAAACACTTGGGAGGGCAACAGGTCCCGTCCCCCCCGTCCTTATCTATTAAATATTCATACATGTGCACTTGTGCAAATGTTTCATTCAAAAGTTTCAATTGCTGTCAATCTGGTAAAGTTGTACTGAGCATTTTTTAAAGAGGTGGGAACAGAAGGCTATGCGTAGTTTTATTGCTGCCAAGGTAGCCTGTTTCATGCTGCTCACAGGACTGGCTTTATCGCTGTGTCTGCCCAAACAGGAGTCAGGTTTAATCCAGCAATGCAGATGCAGGAAAATGCTGTTCTGCTTAATAATCTGGAACTAGTACTTGAAGAATCAGTGTGTACTCTTGCTGAGGACGTACTCTGCTATCCATGTAGGGTCTACTCCAGTTCATTAGTACAAATGTAAATAGTATGATTATCAACAGGATCCTGATTGTGTTCTGATTAGGCTTTGGTGTGTGTGTGAGATACACACATACACACACACAGAGGCCTCTCTTACCTATGCAGACACTGCTGGTCCCAGAACCAGAACATTTTATATACATGGAAACTGGAAGGCTAATTTTAAATGATACATAACTTGAAAAATCACAAAGCTACATTCTTTTTACATGTCCAGAATCACATTTAAGTTGGGCCCAAGTTTTATGGGTGCTGCCTTTGTATTAATAGAAAATGTACACACTATCTGCAAAAAGAAATGCGCAGTACTTCATCCGTATTAGCAAAATGACATTTACAGTCTTGAAATTTATGAGAGGAATGGAGTCGCACCAAAACTGGAGAGGTAAACTTTTGTTCAGCGGGCTTTTTGATTTACACACAGTTAGCTCAAACATTTCTATACAAAAGTGAATGACGGGCCCCCTGAAAATAGAAGAGCGGTAGTCACACTTACAAACTTCCTAGGACTGATACGTATACATAGCTGTCTTAATTTTCTTTTTGTATCCTTCATACTACAACACCTAATTCAAGTTCCTTAGAGGTCATAGTACAAGTAGAAGACAAATGACTCTGAAATTGATATTGCTAGAACACAGTCGTGACTTAAATAATTGAATAGTATTTCAAAATATGATAGCAGTAGAAATAATAAGTACAAACTTTAAAAAATAACAGAAGTATATAGGGTGGGATTCAGCGGATACCCTGTGCAAAAATTTCTGCAACAGGGCTTGCCCCTTGAAATTGGCTTAAGGGTGGAGGGGTCAGGATACCACCCCCTAAACTGTGCAGGAGAGAAAGGACTGGTCCTTCTGGCCTGTGCTGCAATGCTTGTGCAGATAGAAAGTTCACCATAGTGTGATGGTGAATTCCACCCTACACCCACCATGTGCTAAGGCATTATTTTTTTTTACAAAGTCTAGGAACTTAAAGGATTTTTTTTTGTACAGAAAGTGCAACTGCAGAGGCTCTTCAACAGTTCTCATATTTCTTGGTTTGTAATAATTAACTTTCTGGGATCGGGGCCAGACTACATATTACACACAGACACATATATTCAAACCTCAGTGGCAGCTGCTTTAAGGGGGGTGGGGGACAACTTTAATCAGGCTTATTTTTGCCAGATGATGGGTCCATCCTGCTAAGTTTCAGGTACATGCTTACTCTTACAAACCTCTCTTGACACCCCATGGGGGAAGTAGTAGCAGGAAGAGGCAGTACCATCTTTCTTGCAGCTTCTTTTGCCTAACAGCAGCAGCCGTGGGTTTCAGATACACAGGTTTGTGTGTAATGTATAATCTGGCTCTTCCCTCTTAAGACTGATGGTATAGCCCTTGACTCTAGCACAACCTCTGCCACCAAATGCATGAAGGGTTTCTTGGCGGGGGTGGGATCATGCTCACTGCCCCAAATGCTCAGCCCTCCCCATGCACCCAGAATTAATGAGAGGGGGCTCTACAAACATGCACAGCTGTATATACACACAGGACTCTTCCTTGTAACCAGGAACCCTGAACTGATGGGTTCATAATCATCAGGAAAAGCTGTAAGTGCAAAGGGATCTATCAAGGCTAAAAGCCAAGCCACCAGACAGGCAGCTAGCAGGCAGATTAACATTCTGTGGCTAGTGTATGCAATCCTGCTCCCCTCTCCAATAGGCATTTAAGTAAAAAAAAGGGCCCCACTCTTGTGCAGCTCTTTGGGCTCCGGTTGATTAGCGACTCTAAATGGTTTACGTAAGACAGATGATTTGTCTATTTTAATGGCTTTCATATTTTCATTATCACTTTTGCAGCATCCTGTTTTTTTACACTAGGGTGCTGATAGGGTTTATCAAATTTTCCACTTTAATACAGAAAAACTTGTAGCCTTACGTCCTTTATGTAAGCTGTCTTTTCATTTTGTCTTAAAAGGAAGAAATCTGTCCCATTTTGTAGAAAACCCTAAATTAAAAAATGGGGGGAAAGAAGTGTTTTCCGCTACACACTGCAGTGTTTTATCTCAAGCCTGCAACCTCCTTACTCCCCCCTCCAGATAGAAATGCTCTTTCCTCTGCGGAATGTTCTATGTAGGTATGGGATGCTCAGAAAACATGGCGGCAGAGAGATCTTTGAATCGCTGTATGAAGTCCACCCATCAGATCTTAAGCATTTGTTCAGCGGCTGCCAAATGATAGAGGAAATTCTCTGTAGCTGGTGGAAATCTCTTCTGCTTCAGTGCTTCAAAGTTAAGTGACGGCTTCTCTCCATCATGCAAGACCTCTGTGAAGGAGGCTAGGTTTGTCAATATTTCTTTTGTCTTCAGTGAAATATCCTAGAGACATAAAGAGAAAATAAAAGAGAGTAAACATGAGCCAACAGTGTGACGTGGCAGCTAAAAAAGCCAATGCAATTCTGGGCTGCATCAATAGGAGTATAGCATCTAGATCAAGGGAAGTAATAGTGCCACTGTATTCTGCTCTGGTCAGACCTCACCTGGAGTACTGTGTCCAGTTCTGGGCACCACAGTTCAAGAAGGACACTGACAAACTGGAACGTGTCCAGAGGAGGGCAACCAAAATGGTCAAAGGCCTGGAAACGATGCCTTATGAGGAATGGCTAAGGGAGCTGGGCATATTTAGCCTGGAGAAGAGGAGGTTAAGGGGTGATATGATAGCCATGTTCAAATATATAAAAGGATGTCATATAGAGGAGGGAGAAAGGTTGTTTTCTGCTGCTCCAGAGAAGCGGACACGGAGCAATGGATCCAAACTACAAGAAAGAAGATTCCACCTAAACATTAGGAAGAACTTCCTGACAGTAAGAGCTGTTCGACAGTGGAATTTGCTGCCAAGGAGTGTGGTGGAGTCTCCTTCTTTGGAGGTCTTTAAACAGAGGCTTGACAACCATATGTCAGGAGTGCTCTGATGGTGTTTCCTGCTTGGCAGGGAGTTGGACTCGATGGCCCTTGTGGTCTCTTCCAACTCTATGATTCTATGATTCTATAAACAGGAAATGAGGGTGGCAACAACACTTCTTACTTTTCTTTGAGAGAACAGCAAACTTGGGACACCTCACTGCTCACCCCAGACTAGATCATTTATGAAAAAAAGTTTAAAAGCAGAGGTCGCAATACTAATCCTTGGGGGACTTCTCTACATCCCTGTCCTGTCCATTTATTCTGGCTTTCCATTTCCTGTTACCTAACTAATTCTTGATCCAGAAGAGGAACTCCTTTCCCCCCATTTTTGCTAACTCAGGAGTCTGGTGAGGGAGTTTGTCATAAGCTTTAAAAAAGTTTTTGAAGTTTTTGTTAGCACAAACTGCTGTTCCTAGTGTTTATGCAATGTGCAACGGCAGTTTGTTCCAAAATTATGCTTTCACTCGCCTCTCCCATACAGAGGAGGAGTGTTTTGGTCCAAGGTTCATTACCCAGCTCATTCCCTGTCACCTAAACTCTGCTTTTAGCAGATCGTCTGAACCAGTGTTTTCTGACCTCAGTAAGAAAGGCAAAGGCACAACATCCTGGGCAACAGAAATGTATGAAAGGTTTGAACAGTCCAAAGATAAGGAACTTAACCTTAACAACTTGACTGTTTGATTTGTCAGGATCTTCTGCGGACTGAACGATGAGCTGACCAATTTCTTTGTGGAGTTTCCCCATCGTCATTGCCTCTGGGGATAGAGAAAAAGCTTTGTCATTCATTCCCCACCATCTAGTTCAGCGAAAATACTGTAATCTGCAGTTCCAGACTAAGTTATGGCTCTGGTCACAAGCACTGAGATCAGTGGATACCACAAGTTTCCTGACAGTGAGGCAGAGTAAATACAAATGAACTCTCGCCTCCAGTATCAGATTCTTCATACCAGTACTGAGTTAACATATTTTTGCTGCGTATGTTGTAGTAACATTGCACTGACAGAAGCCTTCTTACTATCCACTTTTATAATCTAGATTTTTTTTTGGTTTCTATTATGCTGTAAATTTCCCTTTCCAGTCAAGGCACCTCCTTGTGAGTATTACCATTCATTTTATCCACTTTCCATTCATTATGAATGAAAATCACAGTCTTGTCATACTCATTAAAAAATAATATTCCCTAGTTCTCTTTTAACCTTTCTTTATTATCCTTACTGTTTCATAGATGCCTGCCTTGGCATACCTTTTACAATTTTCATTTCTGTTTGATATTAGCTTTGGCAACCACAGCATCTCCCTTTGATGTTGACTTTAATGCATGCCAATCAAAGCATTTGGGACAAAGGAAACAACAGAACATATCATGGGACCCGGACTGTGTACGAGTGAGTTTGTGCAATATATTTTTTCAACATTATGAAGTTACACCAAATTCTTCTGAAATGTGCATCTATCAAAGTACAAACTGCAACTTGCAAGGGATGGGGGAGGCACGTGATTCAAGCAACAAACCTTTCGCTTGCGGTGAAATGGTGATTTCACTTTCAGCCAGATTCACATAGACATCATAGAGGTCTGGCCTGTTGCTCACTTCTGAGTCCATAAATCCAGCAACATAACCTGGTCAGGAAAATTTTTACCATGATTACTGAGCAAGTACATTCCAATGTGAAGTGCTTTGATAATAATTTAAAAAAATGCTTTCACCACAGTTATTTCCTTGCCTTTTAACCACCTCAAACCTGCATACCAGTGTGGAATTGCTACCAATTCCATGGCAAATGCTTTTTTAAAAAAGGCATGTGCAGAATTCCATCTGCTATTCATTGAATCTACAGAAAAATCCCAGCAGGGGGGCCAGCAACATGATATGTAACATGCATTAAATTATTTTACTTCAAAATAAAATAGAAAAGCTCTACACACAACACGATATATTTAGAGGGAATTTGATCAAGTCTTAAAGAGGGGGTTGTAAAAAAAATTGGACCAATTGATTACTCTTTAGAAAGGGAATTAAGGACTGCTTCAGAACAGCAATTTTGAGATGCTGGATTGGGACCTATTGGATCGCAGAAAAATAACTCAGCCAATATTTGTCAATGTGGCATTATGGGACAAAGAATGAGTAGTATCTCATTTGAGCTACTGACGTGTGACTTTGTGTGATTTGCCAACCAAAAAAGAAACAACTATATTTGAAAAGTAGAATATCTGCAAACCACAGTTCTGAGGGAGCATTATTACAAGATTAATAGTATTCCATCTTTTGGTACTATCCAGGTCAGCAAAGGAGAATTTAGTTACTGGGTACAACAGTTTATAGAACCCACCCTTCATTATCAATACCTGGGCATGTCTTTAATGCTTCTAGTTCATCATCATTCAGATGTACGTGTGAATGAAGGATTGACCAGTCTTGGCGATGCCACACTAAGGCTGGTAGAGTCCTTAAGAAAACAACCAAGTCACAATTGACATTGTACTCAATACAACAGTAGCTTTCAAGGAAGACTGCTTAGCCTGTGCCTCAAAGTCTTTTGTAACCATGAAGACCAAAGCACATCACTGAAAGTTATAAGTTGTTTAATGTTTGGGATACAAACAGAGAAAGAGAAAATGCTGCATATAAATCACAAGTTGGATCTGCAACAAAAAAATGTTGCAACTGGAGTGCTCTTGCTTGTGGCTGGCTAGCTGAAACTCTGCCCACTAGCAAGATACTCTATTCCATTCTTCACCCATCTTTTTCCATCATCATCCCAGCTCCAAAAGCCAGTCAGCATTCCAGGGCTAGTGGGCATGCTCAGTCCTCATTAGTATGTTTTTGAGTCTCCCCATCCCCTCACAAAGGTTCCCCCCCAAAAGAAATTATTTGAAGTTCTATAAACATTGCTGCTCCTCCAAGCCCTTTGGTATCTCCCTCATTTGTGTGAATGGTGCTGTTTTGGATATGTAGGAATTGCCACTAGAACATTACAGGTAGCTTGCATCTTATGTCAGGGTTTAGTTTTGGGGGTTCCACACATATAAGCAAACACGTGTAAAGCCAGGAACCTGTGGAACCAGCCCTATCACAAGGTGTATAGCTGCTTAGCCAACTTTGGAAAGGGGGATGTGAGGGCTCTGGCAGGGTCCTAGAGCCCTTCTTCCTCCTCCCCAAAGTCCTGCGAGTGTTTGCCTACCTTAGGAAAGAAGGGAGGGCTCTAGGACTCTGCAAGAGCCCTTGCATCTCCTTCTCAAAGCGAGTAATCTTGCAAATCTGCTCAGGTGATTGAGGGGAAATAAATGAATGGAGAGTGGGTTTCATTTGCTCTCCATTTATTTATTTATCCCACCCCCTGCCTGCACAAAGCTGCCATCATGTAAGTTAAATAAGGATAAGATGCAAGTTACCTGTATTAATGAATATGACAATACTCATGATTAATGAAAACAAAATGAAGTATGCTTGGTGAACTTTTTTAGTTCACCTGGGTGCTGTACCTTGTAAATTCCTGGATGGCTTCTAATCTGGGGTGATACACTACAATTCTTTTCTTTAACATGAGTGCAGTATACAGGATGACTATTTCCATTCCAAATTGAGATACTATATCTAGAACAGGAGATGGAAAAATAGGAATTTAGTACTGAAAGGCAGCAGACTTCTATACAACCAGCAACAACCTGAGTATTAGGATTGGATGAGAAATCATGAGAAAGTTGTTTTATAACAGGAAATGGAGCTTACTTCTGTCAGGCGCTACATTTGATGTTATTTTGCAAAGTGAGCCTGGTGTTGTGAATATGCTTGTGCGTACAGTTATTCTTGCTATATTTAATGTATTATAATGCAGTTATAACTTGTATGAATTAGAGAACGAGTGAATGTTTGGAAAGGTGGCCCAAGTCAGGAAAAGCAAGCTCCAGTGGTTGATGGATATAAACAGGGCATTGTTTTAAGTGAAACATCAGGTTGAAGAAAAACAACATTTCTTGGGAGATGAAACTGCATGTTCCAGGACATCTGTGTTCAATTGCCTAGACCCTAAAGGCACTGCGATAAGGACAGAGAGATAAGCACAGAGATTATGACCTTCGAGTCACATTGCTGGAAAAGGCCTTGCAATTCTAGAGGAATTCAGGTGGGGGGGTCGGAAAAATAATGCAATGATCTTGCAATCCCCAAAACTTTCCAAGTTGGCCTTGCAGTGCAGAGAATATCTGCCATCAAGACTAAGCTGTGCAATCCAAAGACTGAGCTGAGGATATAAGAACTGTGGAGGCAAAAACTGTGAAATCTTTGGGTGAAAACCTAAGGAGCAACATAGCATTTCCACCTCGCCCCACTGCACTATTTCTCTGTGTGCTACTAAGCTGTCCACTTAGGCCACATTCACACCATACATTTAAAGCACCATGACACCATTTTAAACAGTCATGTCTTCTCCAAAAAGAATAATGAAGTTGAAATTTTTTAAGGGTGCCAAGACTCCTATACTCCTTCCATAGCTATACTTTCCAAAGTGGTTTAACAATCAATCCCTCTTCACTGGGAACTCTGGGAATTGTAGCTCTGGTGGAGGGGGACTAGGCATCTCCTAACAACTCAGCAGCCGTAACAAACTACAGCTCTCAAAATAGCCATGACTATTTAAAATGGTATCATAGTGCTTTAGAGGTATAGTGTGAATGTGGTTTTAGCCACAACATTATTGGGTAACTAGATTCCTGCAAAGAGTGAATGTGAATGTGCTTTATCAACTGAGTGCTCTTCAACAGATGAAACTAATAAATAACTTTTGAAAACTAGTACTGCTCCCAGGTTGCATTCATGACACTTCCAAGAGTACATGTTTGGAACTGGGGCAAAATCATCCCCAAAGCTTTAGAAAAAATTCTTCCCACCTTTGATTGAGCCTGCAAGGTAAGCTTTTCTGACATCAAAATCTTTGCTCAGGAAAGATCCGTTTTCTTCACTCTGGCAGATCCCCTTTGTAAGGACAGAAATATAGCTCTCCATCATTTTCGCCGGACTCCCATATTTCAGGTATATTCTTGAAAAATAAACATAACAAAACAAGTTTTTTATGTCTTCACAAAAAAACCCCCCAAAGAGAATTGAAAAACACAAGCCAGCACTTTCTAGGACAACAGCCCTAAGATACGTTCACTGTTAATTAAGATTAAAGACTCACACATAGGTTTGTCTTTCTCAATCTATGGTTTGCTTAATACACTATTTATTAAAATGTTTATAGCCCACCTTTCCGCCAGAGACCCTCAAGGCAGCTTACAACACAAAATTTAAAAAGAATTAAAGAATTATTGACAACAGCTGCAAGAAAACAGCCAAAATGAAATTACAGCAATGAACAAAAATGAATGCTATCTTTAAAAGCCATGTTTTAGCTGCTAAAAGGCAAATAAGGAGGTAGCTCAAAGGCCTAGCTGGGAGTCATACTAGAATCTAGTCCAGGGATGGGGCTCTGCAGCAGTTCACCTATTGTTGGATCACAACTCCCATCATCCTTGACCATTTGATACACTACCTCAGATTGATAGGAAATACCATCAAACAACTTGTTCAGGGCCACATCTTCCCCATCCCTGGCTTGGCAATGCAGTCAAAAAGGCCCCACCGTGCAACCCAGTCTGATGGATCTTATAGGGTGGGAGGGGGGAAGAGGAAATCAGCACGTCTTCAACTGTTGAATGGAGGGCTTGAGTGGGCAGCTGGACCCAAACCAGCACTTTTAACTGAGCCTGGAAGCACAATGGGATCCAGTGCTGCTGAAACAGTGTTGTGATCGGGACACTTCCTGACCGTCTGACCAGCTGTGCTGTGAAGCTTCTGAAGGCTCTTCAAAGGCAGTTCTGTGCAGTGTTTCAATTGATAAATCCCAAATAGATGCCCACCACAGAACATCAGTTTTGGTGCAAAAACGATTCTTTGATTTAAGCTAGTGTCTGCTAGAACACACTGCACGCACAGCCTTAAAAGAGGCTACCCCTCCCGTGTGAGATAGCAAGCTGGATAGCATCTTCTAAGATAAATGATGTGCACTTTTAACAGGCAAATACACAATTAAATAATCTATTAAAAATCTGCTGCCTAATTCATAGGGAGCACTTTTCTAGTTAACCAAAAGTTTTAAAAAACTTATCTACCAAACCTGTAGTATAAAACACAGCAGTTATACACACCGACAGAGGATCCTAGTGAAGGCTGCATATTTCTCCGGGTTAAAGTCTTTGGTAGTCAGGACAATGGAAAAATGGGTCACCTATCCAACACACAGGAAAAAGAAAAGGTTGCTTGATACTCCATTATAAACACCATACTGTAAACATGGACATTATAGCAACACCAGGAGGATCAGCTCACCAAATCTCATCGAAATACAGTAAATCGAGACAAAATTAAATCAGTTCAGTTGTTCATATGATAAATGCCTTCTACCATTCCACTTCAAATCCCATGAGGGTTGTGGGGGATAACTCAAAGAATCACCCGTTAGATGGGGAAGCATGTCCATTTGCCCCTTTGCAACAAATAAGCAAGTTCAACACTGTTTTTGGAGCTCACAACAAGACCTAAGAGTTTTGTTGCATTTCCAAAGATGGAGCAGTAAGGAGGATGCTTCACCTGACTGCAAGAGTGTGTTCAAGATTTGACCGTCTTATCTTTTTTCTTTTTCTTCCTTTTTTCAGAGCAAGGCGTTTGGCATTTGAAACAGCACTTGCACAGCATCCAAAACACGTTCAACCACGTAAAGGTGCTGTAGATCACTCACGGTATTTATACCCCACCCTGACACCTTCAGGTGAAGCAGGGAATGCAGTTGCAGTGGTAGGAAGAAGCTAAACAAACATACATTAAGTGTAAAAACAATTCTGCAGAGACATTTTAAAAAACGCAAATAGAGGTTTTTAAACCACAGCACTCTTTTCTATATTCCTCATTATTCCCATTCATCAGAATGCTTATTTTTGTTGCTTCCAGAACACTCTCCTAACTGCTACTTTATTCCTTCACCTCCCATTCTTGCGTATGGAATAATCTGCACAGAGTTTGGGAGTTGGCTTGGGGTTGGGTTTTTTTTGCAGCTTTCTCAGGTACAGTGGTACCTCGGGTTACATACGCTTCAGGTTACAGACTCCGCTAACCCAGAAATAGTACCTCGGGTTAAGAACTTTGCTTCAGGATGAGAACAGAAATCGTGCTCCGGCGGCGCAGCAGCAGCAGGAAGCCCCATTAGCTAAAGTGGTGCATCAGGTTAAGAACAGTTTCAGGTTAAAAACGGACCTCTGGAACGAATTAAGTACTTAACCTGAGGTACCACTGTATTACTGAGCTGCAACACGACATTGGTGACAGATTCATTTACAAGCCACCTTGAAATGAAATAGCCATCAGGTTTTGAATCCACCAATTTATGATCTACAGTGCAACACTATGCATGGTTGCTCTAAACTAAGCCCCGCCTCAGCCTCAGTTGATCACCCAAGGCCTCAACATCCAGCTCAGTCGTTTGGGCCACAAACCCTACATGCTAGTACATAGGAACACTGCTACAAATGGCACAAGAATGGGCAGCTGGAAAGGGCACGTTGATAATCTGTGCCTAAACCAGTTGTGTTATAATACTGGAAACCTACTCTTTGTTCCCCACCCTAATGACCATGAATTCTAGACAGATTTCCCATGCAGGTTTCAGCGGAGATGTGTATTAATGGGATAATATGGCTCTTAGTTTTCACTATTTATTTATTTAAAGAATTTTTATTCTGCTCTTCAGCCAAAAAAATGCTCTCCGATCAACTAAAAAAAAACCTAACAGCCAGGCTTACAGACTAAAAAGACACGAGTCAAAAAGAAAACGGATTGGGATGGAGGGAGGAAACTGTAAACATATGCATGGCCATGCAATTAGGCAATGTATTTGAAAAGTCTCCAGGGCCACCTAAAATTAAGAGCAATATGATATTTATTTATATGTAAAACAATGTAGACACTAAGGCATATAATATAGGCCATGCCTGGCAAGGATTCCTAAACCCAGTATTAGTAAGTTTATAGCAATTGTTGAACAATGAATGTGCAGGATAAGATATTTCTGTATCAAGCTCCTTTCTCCAATATTTCCATCCTACCTTTTTCAAGGCTGAAGAATCTGGTACTTCCATGGTTGTAACATAAAACCACGTCAGCCTGTACTGACCAAATGCGAAGGAGCGAAGCTGTTTGCTTTCATCTGTAAGGCAGCATTTTCTCAACAAGAGGTCCCTTAATTCAGTTGTTGTAGAAGGATAGCACCAGACCCAGAGAGTATCTCCATTGGTATCTTTTTCTATGGTGGAAAGATGTTCACTGTGAGAATGCCAACAGCAGCAAGGAAGTAAATTGATTGGTTAATCAGATCTGTTGGCTGCAATCACCTTTAACACTTGCATTTTACACCCACACTAAAGCTTTTGGTTTCCGCTAACATCTATTACAAACTTAATTCACTACTTCTGTTTTAGATGTATGCTGCAACATACACAAATGCCTTATTTACATTAAAATATGAGTCATGACCTATGGTGCTCAGGGTAGATATTCTGAAAATTGCGAACCATTCCCCTGCCCTGCTGCAACTAATAGGGCATTCTAAACCCCAGCCAGGCAGGTGGTCAAATATGACAAGAGTCAGTTCCACACCCACAGCCCTGTTTACTCATGCTGGCTGCAATGGAAAGTGGGGGGGGGGGGAAGGTAAAATTGGATCAAATGCCATCAAGTGATAGCAGTGGGGCTGGCTCAGGATCCAGTGGATCCTGGGCTGCTTTAGCTCCTCCCCCACCAAATGTCGCTTGTCTTGATACTGCTGGCAGGCATAGGCAAAAGGACACCACTGCCAAATTCTAAACCCACCCACACCCAGACTGGCACAAATGACTTTTGGATTGGCCTGTAATTGTAGTCTAAGCACTTGCAGCTAAAACAATTGTTCACCTCTGCCCTGTATTTCCCTTCCTCTGTGCACCCCTTGTACTGAATTTTAGACTGTACGCTCCTCAGGGCAGGGAGCTGCCCTCTTGAACTCTGAAGAGCAACAGACACACCGATGGCACTAAAAGAAAGAAAGAAAAGCAAATGAAACTACTGACTCATTTCCTAAGTTTCAGAAGCACTCTCAAGCAGATGACTTAAAAAAAATATGGAGTGCACCATTACACCATTACACACAGTGACTTTAATAAACCACACTTATGTTGACAAGTCAAGGAATATGCACATATTGGTCATTTAGAAAGATATGTCAGTTGCTGGATCTTCATAATCACAGGAGTATGGAGAAGATTGCAAGTTCACATGCCTAGATCTTTAAGGTCTTCTTTTGTACATCAGCACAGGGGAGGGATCTATAAGTGACAGGCGACATTACAGGCAAGGCTGATGGAAAGCAAGTCCTGATAGGGTCTACGAACTCCTTATACACGCTAAGGGAGCAAACACGAACTCCCCAGCCTCAAATTAATCCGGAATAGCTTCCCCTTCACAAATAGCCGTGCACTGAAGAAGCGGAAACACCCACCCTCGGATCATTCGCCCATACTCCCGATTTGGAACACGGGGGTTATTCCAAAAGGCTTATGGATCCAGTGGCACTAAGCAGGCAGGAAGGGAAAAGGAAACTGCCTATCTCCATCAGCGCACGAACTACCACCTATTCTCCCCGGGGGGAAAAGCGGGGATTTGTGGAGCGGGGGCCGGAGAGAGAGAGAGGCAGCGGGGCGCGATCCTGCTCCCTCCCAGCTGTTTCCCTGCAATGCGCAGCAGGGACGCGGGCGCGCTTACCAATCAGCCCCACACTCAGCAGCAGCTGAGCCTCGGTCTCTGCCATCTTCCTCCTCCCTTCTCCAGGACCCCGCCTATTTCCTGAGAGCCTTCCCCGGCCCCATCCTGGGCCTCCAGGAGCGAGAGAAAGCCAGTCCTCCCCGCCTCCTGGCTTCCGGTTCCACTGGGGAACTCCATTTTACGCGCAAAGAGCGGGAGGAGGAGAAAGCGCCCGCGTGCAAACGAGGGGAAGCGTCTGCTTTCCGTTTAGCTTTGGCTTGAAACCTCTCTGCCTCTCGACCTATCAGTCCAAAGGAGAGGTGGAGATGGCAATCTCACTAGATATAAATTTGCTGGAAAGTTGTTTTCCGATAGGGTATTTTCTTTTTAAGCTGTACTGCCTCTTGATTATAGAAGCCTATTTTAGTATAAAGCAGCATATTGTTTATTTGTTTAAAGGTTTTAATTACTTACATAAAGCAGGACACGAATTTATGTAATTTTATTTATTTCACGAATAAAAAAAACAGTAAGTTAATACAGCAGTTCAGTATTTTCTGACAAATGCCTTGGTAAAGGTAAAGGTACCCCTGACCATTAGGTCCAGTCGCGAACGACTTTGGGGTTGCGGCGCTAATCTCGCTCTATTGGGCAAAGGAGCCGGCGTTTGTCCGCAGACAGCTTCTGGGTCATGTGGCCAGCATGACTAAGCCACCTCTGGTGAACCAGAGCAGCACACGGAAACGCCATTTACCTTCCCACCAGAGTGGTACCTATTTATCTACTTGCACTTTGACATGCTTTTGAACTGCTAGGTGGGCAGGAGCAGGGACCGAGCAATGAGAGCTCACCTGCCGACATTCTGATCAGCAAGCCCTAGGCTTAGTGGTTCAGACCACAGCACTACCTGCGTCCCTCTTGACACATGCCTTAGCGCATCTTAATTCTGTTACAGCACAACACAAAAGTCCTCCAACTGGCCATAGTTGTCTGTTGTCCAGGTCTTCTAAGGGGGGCTGTTATTGTCAAAGTTTTTGCCAAGCACTCTTAGTCATCCATTGCTGGTGAAATTGATTTTCTCAATAAGCATCAATATTTTTTAAAAAAACAAACTCCCATTGTTTCAGCTGATTTTAAGAGATGGCCACTGTTAGCGCAATGATTTTATTTGCAATGTTGATGTATTATATCTTACTTTCCATCTGCACTGACCCATACATAATTCACTTTTTTTAATCCTCACAACCCTGTAAAGTGGGATAAGCTGACACTGTGTGACAGGGCTACAGGACTGGGTGGGGATTTGAACCCTGGTCCCTCCCAGGTCCTGGTCTCCCTCTTTTAATCACACCAGTAGACACCACAATCAACTTCAGCTCTTACCTAAAATGTGTAGGTCATAATACATAGTGGTTTCAATCTTCAGGTAATTAGCAATGTGGCAGTCACAACACTACTACCTTACAGGATTGTCATAAAACATCACTTGTCTCAGGCCCTGCCAGTATGTGCAGGGCAGAGGGGATTCTTACTGGAAAGGCAGTGTGCAATGCAGGGAGGTTTATCTCTTCACCCTCCCCTTGTAATCCAAAATGGAGATCTCCCATGCAGCTAGAAATCTTAGAAAAATTCAGTTCCAGTGATCTCAGTTCCAACCACATGCATGGCCTTCATTAGTGCTATGGTGAATTCCAGGCTGGATTATTACAATGAGCTCTCTGTGAAGCTGCCTTGAAGAGTGGTTTGGACACTTCAGCTAGTGCAGATGTTGTTTCTTGCCTATTGACATATTTGAGTTGGCTTGCTAGTGTGTCACATGTTCTGAAACAGCTGCACTGGCTGCCAGTAGACTTTTAACCCTAACCAAAGGCAGTTTCTCAGTCTCACTTAATGAGGTATAGGAATGGAATGGTGTAGGAGAAAATTATTTATGAATTAAATGTACACCCCTCACTTTCCCCCTCCAATGGGCTCAAGATGTTATAATGTGAATGTCACAACAATGTAAGCTATGCTATAACAGTGACTGGCTTAAAGTCACTGTGTGAGCTCCATATCTGGAATGGGGATCTGAACCTGGGTCTTTTAGGTCTAAAAGACGAACACATTAATGCAGCACAGCACACCATATTACGCATACTGGCTCTCAATGCCAAAGAATTCAGCAAGGAGTGCTCTAATCCTAAACACAACAGGCCACAAGAACATAATCCTTTTTAAAAGTCATCCAGGTTGATGGCAATCCCTTGCTTCCAGTGGAAGTGAGTTCCACAGTATAACTGTGGAAGAAACCCTTTCTTTTAATCTGTCCTGAACCTTCCATTATTCAGCTTCATCGGATGCCCTCGAGTTCTAGCATCCCGCGACGGGGAGAAAATCTTCTTATCCGTGCCGCGCGCAGTTTTATAAACTTCTATCACGGAACCCGCTGCGTAGCCTACAAACAAGCGCAGGATCATTCAAACCGCCGCCTAACCCGCTGAGCAGCGCTGGCCTCGAACTCCCCACCACCGGACCCGCTCTAAGCGGAGCCTCCTCGCGCATGCGCCCTTCGAACGTTTGGCGCCTCGAAAGCTCGGGGCTGACCCCGCCCCCTCCACCCGCCTTCGCTTCCGGACACGTCCGTGCGCGGGGCGCGTCACGTGACGCGCTCCATTTCCGGCCTCGCTTTGCTGCCTGGCTGGGCGCTCCTTGGGGCTCGTTGCCGTGTGAGGAGAAGCCGTCGCCATCATGCCGGTCTACTTCCAGCGGCCCGAGAACGCCCTAAAGCGGGCGAACGGTGAGTGCGGAGCTCGGGGGCCGCTCGCCAGCGGGGCCGGGGGAGGGCCCGCCTCCGCGCCCCGCCCGCGCCCCCATTATGCTTAGTAATGGAGGCCGAGGCCTAGGCTCCCGCCACACTTGGGAAGCCCAGGCACCCGCCACGCTGACCGCAGCACGGCCTCGCCCTTCTCCCCGCGCTCTCCGTCTAGCCGGCCCCGTCAGGCACGCAGCCGAGGTGGAAGGAGGGGTGGCGGTGAAAAGGACGAGCCGCCCTGTTCGCTCTTTAGACACGAGGCCTCTCCGCTCCTCGTGGCGGCTCTCTCGACTCACTTCCTCCCGTTTGAGCCCAGGCTTCCGCGCGAGGGGGTGTGAGCGGGGAGAGGGATGCGGCTGGTTTTTCCTCCCCCTCTTTCGTCAGTAAATAAAACACATTTTTAAAGAGTGCCTCTCTAGGCAGCGCTTGTCTTCAATGGCTGTCGCGTTATACCTGTTCACAGTTGATTATCCCACCCCCACCCCCCGAATCAATAAACAAAGGGCGGCTTTTATCTCGCGGGGGCATCTTTGGGTTTCGAAATCTCTCTCGCCCTTAAAACTCGCACTTTCCCTACGTTTCGTTAGAAATTATGGCCTACACCAGAATCCTGGTTTAGCTCAGTTTCCCAGAGGCGTCGATGACAAATCTAGCCACAGCGCTGCAGGAAATGGGCGCTCATTCTCTGCCTCTACCTTCCCCCTCCCCCGTTCCCCATTTTTTTTTTAACCATTAAATTAATATCGTTCATTTTGAGACCCCCATAGCAGGGGTGCCCAAACTTTTTTCAAAGAGGGCCAGATCTGATGAAGTGAACATGCGTGAGGGTAAACCAAAGTTGTTGACCTTTTTTTAGGATTGAATTTATTGAGCCTTTTAGGGCTTTACCCCAAGATTAAATTGACCAGTGGGCCAGATTAGGGCCCCCAAATGGACTTTGGACATGCCTACCCCAGAGTGTGCACTGCCTGGTATGATGTGAAAGTAAATATTTGGTCTTTCTCAGAGTTCACATCACATCTGATGACACAGAACTAAGCATATGGAACAAAGGTTACAATTTGGATGAGAATTTTGACCTGTTTTTGCTTTCCAGTGTAACTTGGAAAGTCTACTGTTAAGCAGCTGCAGTAAACAAAGAGCCATTATTTAAAGGAGTTACTTATCGTAGTTACTTTTATTTGTAACACCGTGAAATATCATTGTGAAAACTTAAGACAACTGAACAAGATGGAATTTCATAATAGATTATAAAGTTTTTAAGCAATATTCAGGAAGTTTGTTGTTACTGTTTTTGATACATCTCATCCCTCCCCTCATCCTTTTCTTTGTCTTTTATGTAGTGCACTGAAAATTCCAGTAACACAGCTCACTGTATTAATATGTAGGGCAGCAAACACACCCACTTTAAAAGCTAATTTAATAACCAAAATGCTGGTAAGAACCAGTTTTAAATAGTAGGGCTGCCTGTTACAGTAGACTCAAGCCAAATATGTGTGAGCCTATTATAATTTAATTAAAGCAGGTTATATGTACCTAATAAATACAAGTAAAGTTTGATAAAAACCATTACTGTCAAATGGAATTAAGTCTTGAAATTTCAGTTAAGTTTTTTAAAAAAGTTTTTTTCAAAATCATTAACATGCATATTACCATTAAGTGAATTATTCAGATCTTCTTACTTGATTTTTCCATTTCCTGCATTCAGGCCATTAAGATTTAACACCAAATTATGGATTTATTTCTAATGCCTGTCTTTCACACTTACTCCCCTCACACACTTCACTCAGTAAATGCCTAATCCTTGTTTGTGGCAAACTAGGGTTTGTTGCTATGTGCAAACAAGCACATGGAGAAAAGTAAAAATGATGGTTTGCTGTGGACAAGGATAGGAAGTTACTAATCATGGCATGCAAATTAAGTGGGAATGTACAATGGTGGTTCTTGTAATATCTAACCATGGGGTTTGCTGTCATGTTGGAACACATACTTCATCTATCATCTGGCAATTACTTAAAAATATTGACAGAATACATATTTTTTAAAAAGCTTCATTGTATTGGATTCTATATGTTACTAGCATATGAATAGTGAATTCAAGAGTAAGTGGCCAGGATCTTAACATTGACATTGTTTTGGGATTCATAATTTTTATTGTTTTTTTAGAGCCAAGAATCTCTCAAACAAGAAACTTGAAAATGTATTAATTTCAAAAGTCAAAATGTGATTTAAATAATTTAAAAATCTATTGATTGAAATCAGGTTTCTTACGTTGAAAATAATACATTTCTTTAACAAACATACCATATTTACTGGTATTTATAGCAATAAATAATCATTTGCCACTAAAGAGGGATTTTATACAACCAAAGAGCATAATTCAGAAGCTTTGGCCATACAGCCCACATGCCTTTTGTGCTGCAAATTTATTTTGGCTTGGAGAGGAGTCAGATTTCTGTTTGTCTGTAAACATACAAGAATAGTAAGCAAGATTGTGTACTGGCTGTACTTGCACTTCATGATAACCCAGGTTTTTTGGGCTTACTGTGTTCTACTGAGAATAAAGCAAGGTATGGTTGTTCTTAGAGTGTCCTCGTGAGATGGAACATAAGTGTTCATCCATTTTAGTTTGTACAGTCATAGCTATTCATATTTGAAACTGAAGATATTACAGAACTCTTATAGCTGAAGGACAGAAATGACAACAGTTTGTAACTACAAATTGTATCACTTCTCTCGTTATTCTAGAACACACAACAATGCTTACTAAAGGTTTAGCCAATCTGTTGCAACCTTTCCTTTTAAAGTGAAACAGTTTTACAAAGAACTGTTGCCACTTTACCATATTTCTGTTTTTCTTCCCTAGAGACTTAAATAGCTAGTTTAAGCTATCAGAAATGGCTGACTCAAATCGTTTATAGTATTAGTTTCCTGAAATCCTTTTGAAGCGTTGACAATTTGTGGGCAAGTTCACAAAAGCTGGTGGTCCACAAAAATGTTTACTAGTATGCTGATGCACATTTTTTAAAAGTAATTTTTGGCTGTCAGTATTCTGCAAAGTATAAAATTAGACTGCTCCCCCTATTTTACAGTTGTTGCTCAATCTGATTCCCTGGAGGTGGAAATGGCTCTTTATAGCAACTTTCCTCTGTTCCACTCTGAAGCAATATATTTATTAAAATGAAAGTACTTTATTGCAGTTTGTATTAAAAGTCATGATTTATTTTTCTCAGAATTTCTTGAGGTTGGGAAGAAGCAACCTGCTCTTGATGTTCTCTATGATGTTATGAAAAGTAAAAAACACCGAACATGGCAAAAGATCCACGAACCGATTATGCTGAAGTACTTGGAGCTCTGTGTGGACCTCCGCAAGAGCCACCTGGCTAAAGAAGGCCTATATCAGTACAAGAATATCTGCCAACAGGTAAAGGCTCTGAAAAGTGTTATCATATTAATAGTATGTTGTTAAAAACAAGCATTATAATAAAGTATATATTTCTAGATGTTTTAGAAAAATGTACTTGATGGTTCTGTACTATAAATGTGACTTTATAAAAGCTTGATAGGATTAGAGATAAGGAGCATATATCACCAATAGAACACTTTTGAATGAATTGTAACTGCAGAAGTCAATTGTTCTCAGATGCATTGCTACACTTCATTATACTGTCATAGTTTTATATTTATATCTATATATATTCTTATATAAATAACTTCATCTCATGTCTAAGCAAAGTTATTTATAGTCATGCTAATTCTGATACAGGTGAACATCAAATCCTTGGAGGATGTAGTTCGGGCTTACTTAAAATTAGCAGAAGAAAAAACTGAATCTGCTAAAGAAGAGTCTCAGCAGATGGTGCTAGATATTGAAGACTTAGATAATATTCAGACTCCAGAGAGGTAGGTAACAGTGCTATGATACCTTTTGTATGAAGCTTAATTTTGTATTATGCATACATATTGAAAAACACTGATGAACTAATTTATGATTTTGGATGCAAGCTGAGTTCTTTTGGCAGACTTATGTCTGACTCAGTCAAATCTACTTTCACCTTGATGTGGAAGACTAAAACAAGAATTGCATTCCCGTGACTTTGAAAGATGCTTTCAAAGAATGCTGTTGTTGTGTCATTAGAATTTCATTGTGCTGCCTGATATGCATCTTGGCAAGTGAGAGGACGTGATAAAAAGATTGTGTAGAATAACATATTCCTTTTGTTTCTTAATTCTAGTGTTCTCCTAAGTGCTGTGAGTGGGGAAGACACTCAAGATCGTACTGATCGGTTACTTTTGACTCCCTGGGTTAAATTTCTATGGGAATCCTACAGGCAGTGTTTGGACCTTCTCAGAAACAATTCTAGAGTGGAGCGGCTTTATCATGATATTGCACAACAAGGTAAAATCTGTTTTTTGGGTGTGTGTTTTTTTGTAAGACCTATTCAGTCACTTTTTAAAGTTCTGGAATCTCTTATTGATTGCCTACTTCCAGCAGGTACAGGGGTGAGCATTTTGTTCTTTAAAAAGAAAATTAGAAATTTTTGGTTAAAATATTTTTTATAGTAACGATTCAACTATTACCTGACTTTTTATTAAGGACAGTAAAAAACGCCTTTTAAAAGGTAAGAAAACAAAGTGTAAATTTGAGTGTTAGAAAATATTGTCAGTTTGAACTGCTGGTCTGGTTAGTGCAGTCAACCTATGTCTTGCCAGGGCTGCATGAAACAGGGTCCCAGAGAGGTGTTTGCTTTGCTGTTCCCTGGTCTTTTTACCTCTGTGCCATTCTGAACAAAATTAAGGTTTGATTTAGTGTCTGCACCTAGCTCATGGTTAAGTGGTTAGTGAGTAGAGAGCTTAACCATGAGCTCAGATTTGAATAGCATGCTAATCCAAACCTGCATGGTTCAATGTAGTGAGGAGTAAAAATGACTGGTGAGGAGCAAAGCGGCCGCAAGTTAATCTCCAGTAGCTCACATTTGCACATGGTCCCAGTAAGCCATACTTCAGTTTATTCTGTTGTGTGAACAAGGCCAAACTGACTTTTTAACTGCTTCCAAATGCCATAATTTTATCTTGCAGCTTTCAGGTTCTGTTTGCAATATACTCGTAAAGCTGAGTTTCGCAAACTCTGTGACAATTTGAGAATGCATTTGGGTCAGATCCAGCGTCATCACAATCAGAGTACGGCTATCAATCTCAATAACCCAGAGAGTCAGTCAATGCATTTGGAAACCAGGCTTGTACAGTTGGACAGTGCTATAAGCATGGAACTGTGGCAGGTATGTAATTACACAGTTTGAGGTACTGACAGTCTCTCTTTCTGTTGCCAAATTCTTTTAAGCTTTACCTTCTGTTTTGTGCTTTAAGGGATCTGGTAATTTAGAGAGTTGTACATAAATAACTTAACACAAATTTATTTATTAATAAAGTTTTCTGGTAAAAGTGTGCTTAGGCTCAGAACTTGGGATAATGAGCATACCAGGACTGGGGAACTGTTTCTGGTCAGCGGACCAGATTTTAATCTCCCCTGCAAGTCAAATTTGACAGGTATCTGAAGCCTGTCAATCACCTGGCATCATAGTGACATCAGGTGCTTGGTTGATGAGACTTCAAAGCACAGTTGGGTATTTTAAGCAGCCCTTTGTAAAAAAAACACAAAACCCTGTGCTGCTGTTTACAAAGGTCAATCAAAGAGCCCCCATCCTGTTCCTTTGAAACTAAACAAAATGGAGGTTTTAAGGAGCAGTGCAAGGATGTGTACAAATGGTGGTCAAACAGCTCCCATAATATTGCTTCAAAGCTTTACAGACAGAGGGCTTGACTGCAGTGCTGAGAGGGGGAAGGCTCAATTGAACAGAAACTATTTCAAGCTCCTTGTTGTTCCTTTGAAGCCTACCGTTACCTGACCCACAATTGATATAATATGGGTGGGCGTAGCTTCCCCAAGATGTCCTGGCAGGCAATGCTTGGTTTGTGGGCTGGAAATTCCCCGCTTAGATCTATCTATCTATCTATCTATCTATCTATCTATCTAATAACATGTATTTATTAATATGCCTCTATTCCGGCGGACCTTACAAGCTAGGCCTGTTACTTTACATTGTATGTGGTTTCTATATATCCCTCCCCTCCAACTTGTTTGACATACAGTTGTAGTGTAACATGATTTTTTTAAAAAAAACTCCTTTCAGGAAGCCTTCAAAGCTGTGGAAGACATACATGGATTATTCTCCTTGTCCAAGAAACCACCAAAGCCCCAGCTGATGGCAAACTATTATCACAAAGTTTCTACTGTCTTCTGGAAATCAGGAAATGCGCTCTTTCATGCATCCACACTTCACCGTCTTTATCATCTCTCAAGGGAAATGCGAAAGAACCTCACGCAGGAGGAGATGCAGAGGTAGGAAAACTTTTGTTTGTGGGTGCATTTTTAAACTTAGAAATAGCATCAATAGTGTATTGCAAATGGTTGGAAGCTGGATTTAAAGCTTGTCAGTTAGGCCATTTTATGTCAGTATGGCATCTAGAATGGAGGCTAATGCAGTTCAACTGCTTAAATCTTCTGTCTGTAGGATGTCAACGAGAGTCCTTTTGGCCACACTGTCCATTCCTATAACACCTGAACGAACTGACATTGCTCGTCTTCTAGACATGGATGGCATCATTGTTGAAAAGCAGCGGCGATTGGCAACTCTGTTGGGCCTCCAGGCCCCACCGACACGAATTTCTCTCATTAATGATATGGTAAGCAACATTTCACAAAACATTTCTATGTAGTTTGCATCCTTGATTAAAAGGAACTTTAGTAAAACTTCAGAATGATGTGAATAGTAAACAATGTGATTGAAAATTAAAAGTTTCATTTGTTACCTACTTTCTCCCTCCATTCCCAGTCTAGCTGCAGACTACAGCAGCAACTGGAACTCTTTAGTGCTGTCCATCTACAGTGGGGCATATTTCATGACTCTGGCCTTGCTTCTCCATAAGATGTGTAAATGTGACATTCTAGGTGTTTCAGCATTTGGAGATGTATGCCCCGTCACATTAATTGCACATGAAGAGTATGTTTCTTATCTATCACATTTTGATTATTTTTTTGAAAATTGTATTTTAGCTAATCCTTGAGATGAAGCAATAGGTGTTACAGCTTGTTTGATATTTACCGTTAAAAACATTCATAATGTCTTATAGGTGAGATTTAATGTTGTACAACATGTTGTCCCAGAAGTAAAGGAACTTTATAACTGGCTTGAAGTAGATTTTCATCCACTGAAGTTATGTGGCCGTGTATGCAAGGTAAGCCCTGAAATTTTATTCAGAAGTATGTAATTTCTGTGTAGTTGACAAAATCCACACAAATGTTGATATATAGTAGATGTATGGTATTTTTAAAGTGCTTTTTTGTCCAGGTTATTTTATGTCACTATTAATAGCATTCCAATCTGTTTCTAGAATTTCTAACTGCATGAGAATGCTGCTTGAATTTCCATTCATATAAATACTACACATTTAAAAGCAAAACCTGGTCATGCAAATGGAAAATGCCCTTTTGCAAGAGTAGGTTCCTAGTTTGTATTTTAAGTGACTAATGGATGCTTCTGATTTGAAATGTCATTGTACAGCAAGAAAACAGCATTAACTGTTGTTTGCAGTGTATTCCTGTACATGTTTACAGGGAAGTAAATCCCACAGTATTCAAGGGGACTTTTTGCCTAATACGTGTGTGCTTAAGGTTGTAGGCTTAGCTGACATATATGTAATTCTCCAGAGTTGTACAGGGTGAAGCACATTTCATTGTCTTTCTCTTACTATTTATAAGAACAAAGATATTTCTGATGTGCTAGATAATAGGTGAAGGTAAATTAGCAGTGTGGCACACATTGCCACCACTGTCAGTCACCTTCAAACACAACTTAATACACATTGTGTTAGAAACACTTTAGTGATTGAACTAAATAACGATTTTGTGGCCTTAAAACAGGAGGCGGTATATTGGATTAGAGAATATATTGGGTTGAAAAAGTTTAAGGACTTGCCTTAATTTTCGCTTCCTGAGTATACCCTCCTGTGTTCATGTTGAGCCCAAAAGTCCCTAGTTTTTGGCTTTAGGCATTCCCATTATCTTGCTAATTGGAAAAATATACCTCTTAATATTGGAGAAGATTAGCATGTTTCTGACATGTTATGGAAGCTCTTTAAAGTGCACTTTGCTATGCAGAATTGGCTAAGCTAACAGAAAAACTATGAGAGGAGGACAAAAAGGACTTCAGATGAGTCTGGGAACTATTTACAGTTTATTTGGAGAAACAACAGAATGGACTGGATTCACTGACAGGATTTGAATAAACTCACAACTTCATTGGAGTAACAGATATTTTAAAGAAATGATAAGGGATTTTATTTTTCTGTAGGAAAAGCAGGATACGATAAAACTAAATAACTCAGCAGAGGGGGAGTTGAGGGAAGTCCAGAGGAGGGGAGGGAGAATAATTGTAAATAACATGATGAATGAGATTTGTATCAATAATTGTTGTAAAATTCAATAAATATAAAAAAAATAAAATAAAGTGCACTACTGTGAAAAATTGGAGGGATGATACAATTTAGTGAGGAAAAGGTATTGTCTGAACCAGCCGTGCTATCTTACAATCTCTAAATAATTCTGTACAGGTGTTGAACTGGGTAAGAGACCAATCTGAGAAGGAACCAGAACTGCAACTGTATATCCCCCATCTTCAAAATAACACCATACTCAGGCTGCTTCAGCAGGTATGATTGCAAAACAAGAATCTTCAAAGTGGAATGTGCAGTTGGAGTGAATGTTGCAGAATTCCTAAATCCATCAAGATTCACTCAACTGCACAAGTGAGGAGCTTGGTTGTGACTTAGGGTATTCTTAATGTCATATTTTTATAAGTTTTGTTGAGCAATATGGGTGGGGCACCTAAGGAGCCCCACCCACAGTAGCCCTGCTCAAGAACTTCTACTTGGTCAATGGTTTTTTCCACCCCTCTCTTCACCCTACACATTCTCCACGCTCCCTGAAACCGACTTGAGGTGGTGATGGTGAGGAGAACCACTAGATCAGCATGCAGAGGGAGGAGAGGAGAGGAAAGGATCATTGTAATGTTTCTGCAGATGGTATATTCATCAGAGTGCATTGTTGAATTCTACCCTATAAGTTGTGTGTTTTACAGTTTTGTTGTAATGCAAACTATCCTGGTATGACTGGCAGGTTAGTGTTTCTTTTAAATAGAATGTTTTGTTCCTATGTGTCTCTTAAGGATCACTTAGTGAAAGATATAAGGGGCATCCTTAATTTAGTTGCAGCTGTATGTAGTAGATATTGGACGTGTTCCTTGATTGAACTCTGAAATCTCTTAAATTAAACCTTATATTTGTCAGTTGCCTTTGACTCAGAGCTTATCTGTATCATAAGGAACATGGTTCTCATACGCTGTCTTCTGTAATGTCTTCAAGTTCTGTCCATGTGATTAAAGCTTATCATATAGGGAATGTATTACACTTGTAATTCTTGTTTAATTAAGGAGACATTACTAATGTGACACATAACCATGTGGTCTGCTGTAACTTGACAAGAAGGTGTAGTTACCAAAGAGTGGTGTTGGTGCCATGCCATTTTGAATAATGTATGAAACAGCACCAAAGAACCACATGCAGCAAACTACTTTTTTTTTCATATGCCCTATGGCCCTGCTCATTCAAGTGAACATGTGTAGGGGGTGGGATTATTTCCATGTAGAGAACCCCCACTTCCAGTTATATTGTTTGTATAGTCACTACCAATGCACAAATATGCACAGGCTTTGTATACGTGGCCTCCTAATGGTGTTTACTATTAGTACACATGTGTGTAAAGACTACACAGGTGACTGAGCATAAGTTGGGGCTGGGCTTATTGCTTGACTTCTGCATGATGGCTGTCTGGATTAGGCTTCTGATGCTTAACAGAAAACACAATGTTGCTGTGCTCTGAACAAGCTACAGGAGACAGAAACATTGCCTGGGTTACAGAGGTACAAGGCGTGGGCGATGGATCTACCTAGTTAAATAATAAATTCTTAACACGAGGGATTTTTAGTGCTTGATGTTTTAGTTTTCCAAATGCACATGTCATTGACCTGTTTCCTTTACAGTGGTAAGCAGTGTTATTTCTGATGTGCTAAAGGAACAGTTGAAGGCTAATTAGCAGCTTTACTCCGTTGAGAGACTGCTGCCAGTCTCCTTCACACATAGTTGCTGTTTGGGAGAGTGAGTAATTCCTTTGAATAAACGCTTGACAGAAAATGTGAAGTGTTTCTTAAATGTGAATGATTATTCACTATTGTTGACGGTTAAGCTGTTGACTTAAGTTAATTGAGCTCTTAAAAATGCTTGTACAATATTAGGATGAATAATTGGAAAGAGTTGAATATTCATGTGTTACGCAGGTGGCCCAAATTTATCAAAGCATCGAATTTTCTCGCCTGACTACTCTGGTTCCTTTTGTTGATGCTTTCCAACTGGAACGTGCAATAGTAGATGCTGCCAGACATTGTGATTTGCAAGTAAGTGCAGTAGCGAAAAACATCAAATGTTTATACACATTTCTGTATTTAGATAAATCTGATTAAAGCTTGTTTAGTCAAACATAACAGTCACTTTTGTCTTTTGAATTCCAAAAAATGAGTTTCAGCACATTCTTCAGTGGTGGGGTAACCCACTCTAGAATAACCTCTGGCCGGTGAAGAGAATGAACTTTTTCACAAGAAGTCCGACAAAATTTCCTTCACCTGTGCAACCTTGAATGGTTGGAGTGAGCAAAGATTGAGCCATACAGCAGGCTTCCCCGACTTCTCTGTACAGCTTGGTAGTAGTCCAGCTGCTCCTGACTCCTGGAACAGCATTCCCAGAACAGTGCAGAACAGAAAAGTCCACAAAGAATTAGGCGGGGCTGCCATATGCAAGTGAAAGTGCTTGGCTTCTCAAGCAAGACTTCTCTGATTCCCAGTCAATATGTTTTCTTGTAAAATGGTTGACTTTTAGAATTCAAAAGCTACCTTTCTGGAAATATAGTTAGAAACTGCAACAGTTACAGAGCAGTTACAGCTGGTGTGTCTGTGGAAACAAAGACAAAGGAACTGAAGCTTCTAAAGCCCTGTCAGATTTAGGCAGAAGGAAGGGTAGAAGGAATGTCCCTCCCCCCTCTCTGACTTTCTCTCTTTTATGATTTATGGAAATAAACTAAACTAGCTCCAGGGCTGACATAGTTTGTCCCTGTTCTATGGTTTTATTGGGGAAACACAATGTGTTTATGTAAGGGGCACGGGGGTTTCTATGGTGACAGGGCAGGGCCTTACAAAATCTGATCTCCCTCTCCGAAGGCAGGCATCTCTTTCTGCCATTGGAGAGGAAGATTTGAAAAATCCTATAGACCCTGGGACACCATTAGTTTAGATGCATCAGTTAAATCATTGTTCTAATCATGTAGCATTGTTTCTAGTTGAAGTACTCGGAGCTTGCCAACTGCAGTTTTTATATCTTAGGAGAGGTATTCCCTCTGTGTGTAAAATAATTAAGGATTCTGCCTCTTAGAAAATGCTTGCTTAGCTACATGTGTACGTAATCTAATAACATATTTTTTAGATTTTCTTTCATCATATCATCATATGCACATTTAATTGATTACTGAACTAAATCATATGATAATTTAGCTAAGATTTCTTTAATCAAGAAGTAATTTCAGTTTTTAAGTTTATCATTTGATTTGAGTACAGTTCAGAAGTCTGTTGTACCTCAATGTTAAATAGCAGTAATATAAGAAAAAGAGCTGGTAATACAAAATTTATAAACAGCTGTGAGAAACTATCCTAAACATGCCCTTAATAATGAATTTCTGAATTACTCGATATCTTAGGTTCGCATTGATCATACCACTCGAACACTGAGTTTTGGGTCAGATTTGAACTATTGCACTCGGGAAGATGCACCTCTTGGCCCTCAGCTGCAAAACATGCCATCTGAGCAGATCAGGAGCCAGTTGACAGCTATGTCATCTGCCCTTGCAAAGGCTCTTGAAGTGATTAAGCCACCTCACATATTGGTAAGTTGTAAGCTTTTGATACATCTTTAAAAGAATACTGGTGCTTTATGGGAAACTTGGTATGCTCAGTCATGGTTTGAATATTTCTTCTCTTCCCTCCAATGCATGTTTGACTCCCCTGTTTCCTGTGTTCAAGGCACATGTCACTGCTGATGCACACTGCTTTCAGCCCTGGAAGAGTGCAGGGTGGGTTTACACTCTTGGTACCTCGGAAAACACACACACACACACACACACACACCCACCGTGTACAAGGGGCGTTGCCTGTACTTACATTCATTACTTAAAAATATTTAGTGCTGGCATATTTATTCCAATACATGTGTTTTTGAAGAATCTGTTCTGAGATGCCAATGGGGGAAAAACACAAAGAAACCTGCATTAATAATTCTGCAGAATTCAGCAGTGCTTTACTCTCCCATTTGTATTTTGTATTTAAATGAGTTTTTGTTGTTCTGCCTTTAACCATTATGCAGCTAGAGAAGGAAGAGCAACACCAGCTGGCTGTTACAGCTTATTTAAAAAATTCAAGGAAAGAACATCAGCGTATCCTTGCTCGCCGTCAGACTATTGAGGAAAGAAAGGAACGCCTTGAGAGCTTGAACATTCAGCGTGAAAAAGAAGAGTTGGAGCAGCGTGAAGCGGAACTCCAAAAGGTTCGCAAAGCCGAAGAGGAGAGATTGCGTCAGGAGGCGAAAGAGCGGGAAAAGGAGCGCATTCTGCAGGAACATGAGCAAATTAAAAAGAAAACTGTTCGTGAACGTTTGGAGCAGATCAAGAAAACTGAGCTGGGAGCCAAGGCCTTCAAAGATATTGATATTGAAGTAAGAAGCTTGTTGTTTCCCCCTGACAACTTTTTTATTGTAACCACTAGTGACCATTCACGAATAGGAAGTTTATATTGTAGAAAATATTGTATATTGAGTTAGACTTTTAGCCCATTTCTACATTCTTCAGAAAGACAGAAACCCCATTTGAATACCCTACCAATAGCATCTCCCACTTCCCACGACTAGGTTTCCTAACCTTAATCAAACAATTTGATTACAAATAATGTAGTCTATTTCTGAATCGTAAAGGTAAAGGGATCCCTGACCATTAGGTCCAGTCGTGATTGACTCTGGGGTTGCGGTGCTCATCTCGCTTCATTGGCCGAGGGAGCTGGCGTACAGCTTCCGGGTCATGTGGCCAGCATGACGAAGCCGCTTCTGGCGAACCAGAGCAGCACACGGAAACGCCGTTTACCTTCCCGCCAGAGCGGTACCTATTTATCTACTTGCACTTTGACGTGCTTTCGGACTGCTAGGGTGGCAGGAGCAGGGACTGAGCAACGGGAGCTCACCCCGACATGGGGATTTGAACTGCCAACCTTTTGATTGGCAAGTCCTAGGCTCTGTGGTTTAACCCACAGCGCCACCCGCGTCCCTTATATCTGAACATTAGACTATTTTAATAAAATGGATTAAAGGACTAAAAATAAAATAAAATCGTAGATAATTTATCAAATGGGGAAGCTGCATAAAAATTTAAAACAAGAATGTGTGTTTTTCTCAGAAATGGCAGTTTGATTTTTATTCTTTAACATCTAATGTCTTGACTATAGGATCTTGAAGAATTGGATCCAGACTTCATTATGGCAAAACAAGTTGAACAGCTGGAGAAAGAAAAGAAGGAATTGCAAGAGCGTCTGAAAAATCAGGAGAAAAAGGTATAATAAAAAGATGTATGGTGGAGAAACAGCATTTATTGATGACGTGTGTGTATGTTCCTTTTACGCTTAAACCTGAACAATCACATTTCTTTAGATTGACCATTTTGAAAGGGCAAAACGCTTGGAAGAAATCCCACTGATTAAGAGTGCATATGAAGAGCAAAGAGTCAGAGACATGGAGCTTTGGGAACAGCAAGAAGAAGAAAGGGTGAGGTTTCTGAGAGTACTCTGGTGTGACGTAGTTACTTAATATTTTTTCTCTGTTAGTTTCTAGAAATTAACTTTTCAGCTGATTATATAATTTATGCAGTATTAGACAGTGTTTTAGAAATCTTTGTCACATGAGTGATGAAGAATGAATGATGTTTGGATATATTGCAATTAAAGAATCTCAGTCTGTGCTAGAACTCCAATTTTGCCATAAAAGAATGCAAATCTTCTGACTGGAATAAATTGTGTAGCTACACCAAGTTCTAATGTAAATCATTAGAATGCTTTGCAGCTTGCAATTGTGTAATAGTTAGAATCTATTTGAGAACAATGAAAGCCATCATTTTAACTGTAATAAAAGTGATCATAGGGTTTATATAGGCTTTGTACCCAAGCTCTTTTTCAGTATACCATTGCTTAACAATAATAGGCCTACTGGGGTTTTGCTTTAACTGGTCTGCTAAATTTTATTGGCATCTAGACAGTTAGAAAAAAAAGAGGCATGTGGTGCCCATAAATTCACAAAAGACATTTGAAACAAATTGTATGCATCACTCTATCACTGATTTGGTTTTGTGTATGTCACAGATCTCAACTATGCAGTTGGAACGTGAGAAAGCCCTTGAACATAAGAACAGGATGTCCAGGATGTTGGAGGACAGTGATTTCTTTGTAACTAGGCTCAAAGAAGCGAGAAGATCAGTGTATGAGGTAAATCTGATTTTTGTGTTCTGACACATATGAGATTACTCCTGATCAGAACTTCATAGAAAATGGAGTGAGGGATGGCACTGCTATCTTCTCTCCTTTGTCATTTTAGCATGTTAGTGTCTGTGCCTGTTTTGATATGAGAGGCGACAATATTACGCTTCGCATCAGCAGAGAGGTGTCCTTTCTGATAAAATAATCTCATATAAAAAGCTTTATGTGTATCTTCCTTTTTGTTTATTTCATTTGTATCCTCCCCTTCCTCCAAAGACATTGCAGAATTCTCCCATTTTATAAGTTGTTTCTAAACTTCTCAAAACAGTTGTTTTACATCTCTGCTCTTAATGTGGATTCCAGAACTGTTTAGAATCATAGAGTTGGAAGGAACCCAAGGGTCATCTAGTCCAACCCCCTGCAATGCAGGGATCTCAGCTAAAGCATCCATGTCAGATGGCAATCTAACTTCTACTTAAAAACTTCAAGGAAGGAGAGTCCACAACCTCCCAAGGGAAACTGTTCCACTGTCAAACAGCTCTTACTGTCAGAAGGTTTTAACATATGTTTAGTCTGAATCTCCTTTCTTGTAAGTTGAAGCCATTGGTTTGAGTCCTACCTTCCAGAGCAGGAGAAAACAAGCTTTTTCCATCTTCCATGTGACAGCCCTTTAAATATTTGAAGATGGCTATCATATCTCCTCTTAGTCTCTTTTCCGGGTTAACTATACACTGTTGACTCATGTTAAGCTTGTGGTCCTCCATGACCCCTAGATCCTTTTCACATGTACTGTTAGTAAGCCAGCTGTCCCCCATCCTATATTTGTGCATCTGGTTCTTCCTCCCTAAGTGCAGAGCCTTACATTTGTTCCTATTGAAATTCATTTTGTTAGCTGGTGCCCAGTTAGTCCAATCTGTTAAGGTCATTTTGATTCTGTCTTCGGCATTATCTACCCTTCCCAGTTTCATGTCATCTACAGATTTGATGAGCATCCCTTCAATTCCTTCATCCAAGTTGCTTAGAAAGACGTTGAGCAAACGGGCCTAAGAGTTGACTTTATGTATAGCTGCCAAGCTACAATTAGTCATTAACACATGTGAACACCAGATAGTTGGAGTTCATGTTTGAGCATTCATCCTGTAGGTTGCCTGTAACATGTCTGGAGTTCAATGTATTAATATGTATTTTAGGAAAAACTTAAACAATTCCAAGAAAGATTAGCAGAGGAAAGGCATAAACGCTTAGAGGAACGCAAAAGGCAGCGCAAAGAGGAAAGACGCATTGCTTATTATCAGGAGAAAGAGGAAGAAGAACAAAGATTGCAAGAAGAGAAGATGCTTAAAGGTAAACACTAAATAAAAGGCTATTGCTGAAAAAACACCCTTGATCTTTGCTGTGTTTCCAGCAGTATTTATTTTACTTATCTATATATAGATGTGCCATGGTTGCCATTAATTGAATTTGAATTTCATTACTTGTAAAAATAATAATGGGTAATATTCAGTGTTGTCCGTCCACCAGTAGACTAGACATTGTTTGTGGAATAGATTCCCTCTACTAGGCCCACCCAATATGATCTGGAGAGTTTGGAGACGGCATGGGGGGCTGTGGGACAGGAAAGAAAAATGAATTCCCATCATACGACCAGAAGTCTGCTTGCACAACATTGGCCCATTAAATTTTAAGCAGACATGAAATGCTGTGCAAACAAAATTGGTAAATGAGAGGACATATGATAGACATTTCAAATATAGGATGGAAAGTCACTCTTTCTGCATTAATATTTGGGCAGAACAAGAAGAAAAAGAACGTGTAGAACGTGAAAAACGTGAGGAAGAAATGCGTGAATATCAGGAACGCGTCAAAAAACTAGAAGAGGTAGAGAGAAAGAAACGCCAAAGAGAACTGGAGATTGAAGAAAGGGAACGTCGTCGAGAAGAAGAGAGGAGGAATCTTGAAGATCCGCTTTCAAGGAAGGTAAATTCTATTTCTGATAAACTGACGTTTCTAAGCAGAATCCAGCGTTGCATGAGCAGAAGTCCTGTGCAAACAACAGGACTTCACTTCTCTCTTTACCCTCTGCAGACCACCACAAGTCTGCAAAATCATCTGTGGAGAGTCCCTCAATCCTTTGAAGTATATTTTGAAATGTGGAGGCCTGCTGGCTGGGGGGAGGACAGGAAGTTGAAGTCATGCAACGGAGAGGAGAGTTTTGTTCTGCTTCTGCACAGATAGCATTGGATACAACCCTCCAAATTCCTCTGTTCTTAAATAGAGAATTTACATCAATAAAAAGTATATGTGAAAGAACTCTTCAAATTCAAGAATTCATATTTAAGGGGGAAGCTTTCAACGTACTACTTTTGAGTGGACTTCAGTTTTGTGCCTTGGTGCTATGGAAGAGAAAGTGATTCCACCTTCTTGCAGCTTTCTATGGCACCTTCCAGCATGTTCTGGAGGCTCCCCTGACTCACTGCAGCTGAATTCAGCAAGTGCTGGGAGGCTACCAGGGTTGGGGGGTGTATCCGAAAAAAATTGGTCCCCTTTTCTGTTAGCAGATGCACAAGGGCACCAATAAATTAACTGTCAACTGGCCTTTTAGTATCTCTATGATCAAATGACTATGAAATAATGTAGTATGAAGTTGATCAGGAGGGGGAAGAAGGATCAGGATCTGTTGGTTGGTGCTTAAGTAGTTTGCAATAGATTGAGTTTTTGACTGCTGTTTGTCTTAACAATAGCAGCAGCTTAAAAGTTTATTTTACCTAAATTAGCTGGCTGAGAAAGAATGCCCAAGGATGTGGTGGAAAACAGGAGTGGATTCTTGTATGAAGAGATTCCCAAGCTTTCTTCTGTTACTTATCAAAAAAATCCTGGGATAAGCATGTGCTCAGAGACAGTCTATTCCTTAAATCTTTTTGTATGTCTGCCCAGTTGAGCCACTATTTTGCACCAGTCTCTAGTTGGCGGAACTTGTGGTATTACAGTCATCCTCGTGTTGTGTTTGCTTCAGGTCGAGTGTTTTCAGGTCCCATGGCGACCCGGAAGTACCAGAAAGGGTTACTTCTGGGTTTCACTGCTCGCGTATGCGCAGATGCTCAAAATGACACCACGTGCATGCGCAGAAGCAGCGAATCACGACCCGCACAAACTCGGGTTGCGTTCTGCTCAGGTTGCGAACGGGGCTCCGGAACGGATCCCGTTCACAACCAGAGGTACCACTGTAGTAAAAAAAAACCAAAGTAGAAGAGCCTGCATGCTTGAAATCTTCCCACTGCTCAACTACAAAGAGTGTTTCCAGAGCCGTAGCATGTTGGTTTGTTGCAGAAAGGTGAACTCTGGTCTACAAAAGCTCATGTCATAATCAATTCATTAGCCTTTATGGTGCCCCAGGAGTCGTCATTGTTTTTGTCTTAAGTATTGCTTTTTATTAATATTATCTTCGACTCAATCATTGCTAATCTTTTCAGTGGGTAAACTTCGCACCAGAAAATACATGCATTTTGAAATTTTATAATGGTGAAAATGTGTATATTAATTTGGATAATCTGCAGCCCTAGTAATTTCTCATTCTTGCTCTATTCGTAATTTTTCCAGTGGAGTATTAGAGGTGATCCTCAATTTACATATTGTAGTTGTCATGTCTGAAGGACCCTTCAGACATTTGTATGTGAAATTTGGGATCTATTCCTTTTCTCCTGCTTTATAGGAGTAGGAAAAATGACAGAAGACGTTGCTGCCTTTTTTGAATGGATTGACTATTGTTTCCAGTTCACTTCTGTCATTTCTTCCTCTGCCATATTTTATTCTAATTTGAACTGCCATCGCCTTAGCTGTTCATTTGCTATGCTCTACAAAACATAGTGGTGGTTTCTCTTGTGGCTACATTTTGCATTTGTATGCCATTTCTCAAGTTAGTATTCAGTACTGAACATGTCACTTGGAGATATGTGAACAATTCTTATTAATAACTGAGCAATTTGTTTGGGTCATGTTGGGACAATTTTACTACCTATTCCCCATCCCTTTTGTTGAGTTGTAACTAATAGTTCAGGTCCAGTATAATGCAGTACTTTGCACTTGTCCATGCTGAATATCCATCCATATATTTATCACATGAGGTCTCATTAAATGCCCCAGAATTCAATATATACTTTTGTTTTTAATAACTAGTCAAAAAACAAGTTTCACTGACAGATTAGTTCATAGGTTCTCAGTTCGTTATTCCAAGTCAAAATAACGTCATGCCTATACTATTCTATTGAAATAAAAGCATGTGATATATACAAAACCACATTGGTTGGATTATTAATAATGGTACTTTTTATTTTTGATTTAAATGTAGGACTCTCGTTGGAGTGATCGAGAACCTGGTGAAAGCACCTGGAGAAGAAGTGCTGAGCCAGACTCAGAATGGAGGCGACCAGCACCACCAGAAAGGTATTTATTGGAATAATGCTTAAAGTGTCTGTCTACAACTTGTTAATGTTTCCTTTGTGATCCTGATGTCCTCTGCAAAGGTGAGTATTGTTGTAGACTGCGTACAAATAAAATGGGTTGTATCCAACTAAATCATTGCATGCACAGAATGCAATAAAATTGCATTAGAATAGCAAAATTACTTAATTGTTTATTTTGACAATTTATACACAGTTTAATGCAATAGTCTCTAAGGAGTGTACAAGGTTGATTTAATAAAGATAACTATCTGTTAAAAGGATAAAATCAGAATTCTAGAATAAAGTCTTCAGTACATGCTGGACATTCAACAGGCAGAGGGCCAATCTGAACGTAACTGGACGGGAGTTCTATAAAATTGGGTCCACAGTATTGAATGTACATCTCCTGGTGGATGCAAGTTGTGTGTCTAAGCCATGAGGGGATACTAACAGTGACTCACCTGAAGACCTCGGGGATTAGGCAGTCCCTAAATATCCTTGATCCAAGTTGTTAAGGGCTTTTCAAATTAATACAAGAACCCTGTATTACATTGAGAAAGCAACCAGCCATTTAAATGAGAACCTTAGGTGTGCAGTTTTTCACCCCAAGTGAAGATTTGGCCTCTTAACCTTTCTCCAATTCATTTGGTTATCAAACAGAATTTATAAGTTCAATGACGTATACTAATTTCTTATGTTTCCTAGCATACGTAGACTTTTGGATAAAAGTTTGTAAGTTCCCGGTTAAAGTTGGAAGAGAGCACCTGAAATACAGTTGGATAGGCGGCAGCAAGGAAAGAAAAAAGATTATTTGTACATCTTTTACATTGATCAGAACTCTAACAGAATTGTCTATTTTTTAATATTTCAGCAACATCCACAGTGGGCAATCCCCAATGAAGTAGTTTTGTTAGTGCAAGGACTTCCTATCCCTGTACCTCCCAACAGCGCCCTCCCCCAAATGGTGGGTTGACAAGAAACCCAGAACAGATGTAGGGTGCACAGGGGAAGAAGAGGGAGGGGAAGTCCTGTTGCGCAGCCAGAAGTACTTGTGCTAACAGAAGTACTTTGCTGGATAAAGCTCTCTTTTTATAATTATCCACCCCTTGTGACACCATTGTTCTTTAGTATTTTGTTACATATGATGTTTTATTTATCCTCACCACTCCAAAATGTCAAGTTGACTACTCACAGGTTGTATGTTATTTCCTACATGGAACAGATTTCTTTATGGGAAATAACATGTGATGTGGTGTAATTAGTACTACTGTGTAGGAGTAAATATACCAAATGGCTTTCCAGACAACTGAAAACAAAACTTTTATATTCAAAATGCACGATTTTTCTATTTGAACAGAGAGTGGCGGCGTGGAGACGCACGTGAGGATGAAAAACCTTTACGAAGAGATGATTTGCCTCGGCGTGGTATCTCAGCAGACAGAGTAGAGTCTCCTCGTGAAGCACTAGAAGACAAAGTGCCGAAGCAGGATGCTGATGAAGACAAAGGTCCTAAGAAAGTTCTGGATGATGACAGAACAAGTTGGCGCTCTGCAGAAGACAAGGGCCCCATGCGTGGCTTAGATGATGACAGGGGCCCCAGGCGTGGGCTGGATGACGACAGGGGCCCCAGGCGCGGGCTTGATGATGATAGGGGCCCCAGGCGCGGGCTTGATGATGATAGGGGCCCCAGGCGTGGTCTGGATGATGACAGGGGCCCCAGGCGCGGGCTGGATGATGACAGGGGCCCCAGGCGTGGGCTGGATGACGACAGGGGCCCCAGGCGTGGCTTAGATGACGACAGGGGCCCCAGGCGTGGGCTGGATGATGACAGGCCAAGTTGGCGCAACACAGATGATGACAGGGGCCCCAGGCGTGGTCTGGATGATGACAGGGGCCCCAGGCGTGGTCTGGATGAAGACAGGGGCCCCAGGCGTGGGCTGGATGATGACCGGGGCCCCAGGCGGGGTTTGGATGATGACAGAGGCCCTAGGCGGGGTTTGGATGATGACAGACCAAGTTGGAGAGCTGCAGATGAAGATAGGCCTCCCCGGCGTGGGCTGGATGATGACAGAATCTCAAGGCGTGATGAAGATAGGGGACCATGGCGTAACACAGATGAAGATAGAATTTCAAGGCGTGATGATGATCGTGGACCTAGACGTGCTGGTGATGATGACAGAGGTCCTAGACGTGGAGATGATTCTAGGCGTGGAGAGGATTCCAGAACTGGACCTTGGAGACCATATGGGAAACCAGGTAAACATACAAATTGGAGCCATTCATTTTGTGTTCTGAGAATAGCTAGCATACATTCTGTTTTAAGTTTGCACAGAAAACGCTTTTGCATTCTGAGATGACTGCAAGTCAAAAGCCAACAAGTGCCAAAAGGGCATAGAAATTATATCCATTTGTTTGCACTTCTTTACATTGTTGCCACTGCAGTGTAAAAAAATTTGATTCCTTTGCTGATTAATTGAAGGTATCCCAAAGTGCAGTTCTTGTACTTTGATTGCTACATTTAAACAAATGACTAAAAAATGGAGATGATCTAATGGGTAACACTGGTTCCAGAATTAGTTGGGTGCAAGTATACTGGATAATTACAAGGAAAAAACCACATTCTTGTTTCCCTATTGAAGGAAAGCATAATAAAGCACATGTAAACATGAAACAAGTTATTCCACATTGTATTCCATTTATGCCAGATGTGTTCCCATCCCAGATATCCATAATAGAATGGGATTTTGCATGTGGAAACCTCAGTTGTGGTGTGGAATCATAAGAAATAGAATACAAACTACTTGCTTGCATGCATGCATGAATCTTTATTTGTCTCAGCTATCAGCCATAGCAATAAAACAACAATACAATATACAAAGAATAGAAATAAAAAGTCAATTATATAAAATGCATGAGTGGAAGCTCCACATTCTTACACTATTGAGATTAGTACACCTAAGTTCAGATATTTCGTTGTCAATAGGTGGTTGGAGAGAACGAGAAAAGGCTCGTGAAGATAGTTGGGGCCCTCCACGAGATTCCAGGCCTTCAGAAGATAATGAATGGGATAAAGATCGTGATGAGAATGAGAAGGACCGTGAACCTGACAAGGACCGTGACTTTGACCGGGAAGATCGTTTCAGGCGTCCTAGGTTTGATTTCATTACTTTTAAATTGTGTGTAGCTTGGGTTTCTCCTCCCCAACCCTTATGAACTGGGGTAAGGCCCCACCACAAAAATCTTTGGGATATTGGGCATCACAGTTTGGGGCACTTGAACAATTTTGAAGTGGTAGTAAGTAGCCAAAAGCAGGGTTGTTGTTTTTTGTTAATTTGATGTCACCAAAATGTGCACTTGAGTGCTACGAGCATTAGCTGGAGAATAGTTTGCAATGTTTTTACCCACAAATGTTTACAAATGCTTGTTTCTTGGAAAAAATGATTTTGAATAGTGCTTTAAAAAAAAAGTTTTGTTTTGTTCCAGTAACAGTTTGCATAAGAGTAGCTTCTGGGTCGTATGGTTGATTTTAATTCATTCCCTGGAATGTGGAGTTAAATGCTTTTTCTTATTACTAAAATATATTTTTATAACTAAAGAGATGACGCTGGCTGGAGAAGAGGACCAGCTGAGGAAACCTCTAGCTGGAGAGAGTCAGGCCGTCGTGATGAATGGGACAGAGGTGGCCGTGATTCTAGAGATGACCGGGGTGGCCGTGATCTTCGAGATCGGCGTGTTGAAGACAGGGAAAGGAGAGGGCCAGTGCCCCTTCCCAGAACAGATCGGGAAGAAGGTAGACTTGTTTTCTGTAGTTGGGTACCCTAAATACAGCTCCCTTTCAGGAAAACACAAAGGAAGCACACTTACAGTATATATCATTGCATAATTGTGCAAATAGGGTCACAGTTGAGAACACTTGAATATATTTTTTAAAAGAAATGAAATTTGATGGTGTAGCAAGATATGATTTAAACAGGTAAATACAAAAGCCGTATCACTTCTAAAATGTTTTTTTGTACTTGAAAGACTTGCAAAGTATTTGCCCCTTAGCTTTGAACATTGTTGGTTACAATAAGTATTTTTTTTTCTATTCTGGGTCTTCAAATCCATAGCTTATCAGTTAATCAGACCACCTATAAATTATGTTAACTTCTCATTCCAAAGCTATGTGGAAAGATTCATACAAGATCCCTCCCCCTTTTCTTTTTTAAAAAAGTTCTATTTTTGGACATTCTCATCACGAGTTTATGGGTGTCTCTTGCGAATTGCTATAAAGCTGTTTTGGATGGCCTGGATTCCAATGTCATCAAACGTTTTCTCTGGATTTGATGATAGTAAAACGTAGTGAAGGAAGCATAGCCATAATACTGTCTTTCCCCCATTTAGTGAGCTCATGGAGACGTGGCGATGACAAAAAGGAGGAGCATGAAGAACGGGAAATTGTTCGGAGACCACCTGCTGCTGCTGCTCCTGCTGCTCCAGCGCCCTCTGTGTCAAAAGAACGAGAAAAAGATGGGGAGAAAGAGAAGGGGGCCTGGAGAACAGAAAAAGACCGGGACTCCCTTCGCCGCACTAAACTTGAAGCTGATGAAGATGGGTGGACCACTGTGCGACGTTAAGTTCAAAACCTAAACATGGTTTTTATGTTGGTGTTTAGCATTGATTGGTAACAAATTATAATATTGGTGCTTTAACACTCTGAATTGGAATTCTTTTAACAAAATTTTCTAGGTAATGTGAAAGCATGAAACTCTTACACGTGTGAAAACTGATCATGCACAGAACTTGCAACTAAAAGTCAGAAATTGAATACTGGTTACCTGAAATTTCAAATGTTGTATATGTGACAGATCACTTGGTGGTAAGAAATAAAAAATATGAACCCAGTAGGTATCTTTGAGTGGCATGTATATCTCAATCAAAAAGAAATCAATTTTTATTTTAAGTAGTTCTTCACCTGGAAAATCAGTATGGTCTGCAAAGTGTACATTTAAAACAACATTTCTAGTTACATGAAGTGATGGCTTTGTAAGACTACTGCCTAAAATAGATATAAGCAAACACTTTCTATTTGGGTATTTTGATGGCAAGAGGTGTTTTTTTCTGATGGTATTATACAAAGTCAGTATGTTTTGAGTTGCATACGATAAATGTTATGGACCTTTAACCACACTGGGGTTTTTTTGGGTAGATTTTTCTTGAATGCATATACTTATCAAGCCATTTTGCAGTCTTTGTTCTCACAATGAATGCCAGCACAGCAGTCTCAAAACAACAAATAAGGCTTTTAAAATGAAAGCGTTTGAGAACAATCATACTGCTGAAGTTTACGACCCTTGGCATATAGACTTTGCTTTTTCTGTTCATGGATAATTCATGCCTTTTGAAGCATTTATATATAGTATCCTATTTCAAGTATGTGGTCTGGAGGAACTGCTCACTCTTCCCTTCCTTCCTTCCCAATTTCTTGTCTTCTGGGTAAGTGCTTTACCTTAAACCAAGTGCTTTGTAGTATGGGCTGGGTTGACTTCAATTTTGAGGGCAAAGTAGTAATGTTTATGATTGTTTTTAATTGAAGCCAACACAGAACTTGCTACTATGTGTTAACTTCAGTGATAAATAAACTTAACAAAATAAGGTGCTTTTTTGGTGTGGCTTCTTAATCGTTGCAGCTTGTGCACTCAGTCTGCCTAGAGTCAAGGTCCTTTCACCATACTGGTGAAACGATTCAACACACATGACTTGCAGAAGCTGAGATGTAAAAGCATCATATCAAACCTTTGGGCTCCATCCAAAGAATCAGATCCCTATTTTAATACTCGAGTGAATCTCTCCCAAAAAATGCTCAAGTATAAAATGTAGGCAATTTCCATGCCCTGATTTCAATCATGTTTTAAAACGATAGGTTCACTTGCTTGTTTTGTAGAAGAAAAGTTGAATCACCTGCATGATGTGTTTTGAGAAAGGAGTTTGGAAATTGGATTAAGCCAGAGGTGGCGAAAACATTCTTTAGCTCAAAGACTACATTTCCTTCCTAGGACTGTATGGCAGTGATGGGCAGGACTTAAGCCACATGCAGACTTATGAATATACCATTCACACACTTGTCCATAACCCATCCCGGCTCCCTAGTGAGCTATTTCTTTTACAAAATAGCTCAAACCCTGTAGCCTTACTCAACTCCCCTCCACCTCAACAAAGAGAATAAAGAAGTTTATTTCTCTTTGGCTTTTTTACTTGATTTTTAATTCCTTCTCTCCCTCTACAGATTGTGGTTAAATTTCTGAGTGACTACAAAGAGTTTCAAACCATTTTTGCCATTTTCTGCTAGTCTCCTCCATGTTTTCTCAGTCTGCTCTCGCTTCCTGTTGCCTCTTCCTGCTGGCCACCTCCACTTTCAGCCAGATCCCTACATGTTATGTTCTTCACACTTCTCACACAATTAGGAAGAGGAACAGACAGAACAATGAGCCTTTAATGATCAGACAGGAGGCAAAAAGTTCCCAGCTGTAGATTGATTGAAGAACAGCAGTAGGGCCTTCTGGAAAAGGGTTGTGGCTCTGTGGGCCTGAACAAGTCAAGCAGTTCCTTTGCCCTGTGTTAAGCACAGATATTTTTCTGTTCCCATGTTTTTAGATTGCTAAACAAGTTTAGACATGGTGTAGTTAAATAGAAGACAGTGGGAAACTCCTTTCCCTTATATTTCCAGTCAGTTTCTCATTTTTTGCATTCCTAAAATAGAATTCTTCTCCCATAGTTTATTTGAAGGTGTGGGGGCAGAGGGAAATACGGGCAATTCAAGATGCAGACACTTGTTTTAACTAGGGGCTTGCAATGAGAAGATCTGCCTTGTAGCTTGTTCCATTTGTGCCTTCCAACTCATTATTCAGATCTGCATCTGATCAGTTAAATCTGAAGCTCTGTTTCATCCCTATTGCCTAAGTGGGAAACTAAAAATGGCTAAAACACTATTCCTTTTCACCTTTGGTAAGAAACCTCCCAAAGCTCAGGCAAATCATTCCAGGGGCTATTGCATGAGGTGATCTTACCTTTGCTATATTTACTTTATTAGATCTAAGGGTGGTCCACAACATAAAATTGCAATATAAAAACAAACCAAAAAAACATAATTTTTTTTCTTGCTCCCCACCCCTTCTCCATGAAGAAAAAAGCTTATTTTTAATTTTTAGGAAAAAGAACACTTGAGAAAAAAAGCAGGCCACACAATTTCTCTAGTTTGCTGGTTCTGCTCTGCTCTCACACTCAGAAAATAGACTGGAGTGCACTGCAAAAATAATTCACTGATTAAATGCTAGACCTGTCTGTCAAAATGAAGTATCACCTTCCCCAATCCAGCTTGGTTTTGCAACTCAGAAATGAGAAAAAAAAAGTCATGCATTTAATTATTTTTTTGGGGGGGGAGGGAACGAGGACAATGAAGCTACTAAAAAAGTTGGGGACTTCCTGATCTGCTCACGTGTATCCAGTGGCGTAGCGTGGGTTGTCAGCACCCGGGGCAAGGCAAGTAATTTGCGCCCCCTAACCCGTGGATTTGCGCCCCCTAACCCTAACCCCCAGATGTTGCGCCCGGTGCGGCCGGCCCCCCCTGCAACCCCCACGCTACGCCACTGCATGTATCTGTCCTGAACCACTGGCTTTGCCTTGTTTGAAGGTACACAGACCTGATGCACATTTAAAGTAGTTTAAACCATACACTTACACAGAGAGAGAACAGATGAAATTCTTAGGAATGAAAACGGTAGCTTGAGACGTAGTCCTTAATACTGTCATTTATTTAGACACTGAAATTGTTTCAGGGTTTTATCCAGTACTCCATGTATACAGTTCTGCTGGTGCAATGGGACTTGAGTTTCTTCTTTCCTGTGCTTCTCCCCTATCTGCTCTGGAGCATCCCCAACTGTCCAGAGCTAGTTTTGAGGGCACACGGGGCTGGAAAAGAAGTGACACTCAATTGCACACAGAATTAACTGCATTAGCAAAGCAGCAGTGTTGGATTTGGCCCATGAAGTGCATAACCTACAAGATACTGGGTTACTTATCTCTACAACCTTTTAATACACTCGCCACAGAAAGGGTCTAGTAGCTGAATAATAGCTTTTGCTGAGATAAACACATCAGTAGTAGTACAACCGGCATGGTTCCTCAAGCATCTTAACTTGCAAGCGAGAACTCTGGTGTTTTGCTCATATCCTAAAGATTGGTCAAATATCCATCTCATGCACAGTTCCAACGTTTCAATGCAAAGTGACAAAACCCCAAAGAAGGCACAGAAACCAGAAGGAATGCAAGAGGGAGAAACATGTTCTCAGAAGTACCAGCTGAATGTAACACAACCATCAAATAGCCACTTGACCTCATAGTCATTGTTCAGAGCACAGTAGCTATAGGAAAAAACCTTTTAAGACCTGTGGACCTCCCCACTAGGTGTGTTGGTAGCAACCACTTTGTTTTCTTCAGAATAAAATTATTCTGATGATACACCGCACATTCAACTCTTACTGACAATAGATACTTTAGGTATTTGCATATGAGTCAGAATGATAATTAAGAGTCAACTCAAAGCAGGAGCAATAAGTTTGCTTAAAGCAAATTTCTAGGTGACATTTCCCCTGCCCAGCATCCAATTATCAGGAATTTCTTCAAACTAGAACACAGCTTGCAAGTTCTACTAGCCACATCCTTCAGTCCCTGTCTTCCTTCTTGGTCTCTTCTTGCCCTACCATAAGTCTTAATATGCCAGTTCTCCAGAATGTAAGCTGGTTTGTTCAATGCCTGGCTAGAAAACCAGCCCTCCAGCTCTTGGCTATAACCTCCACCATCATTGGCTCTGCTGGCTGGACCCAATGGAGTCTAGCAACATCCGAGGGCAACAGCTTCTCAGCCCTGGCAAATGTATTTGACCTCCACAGGTCAGCAGCTCCAGAGCCCTGTGTCACTTTTACTAAAGCTACAATTCTATGCATCACTACATGAGAGTAAGCCCTCTTGAATTTAAGGGGGCTTATTTTCCTGCAAACGCAGCTTAGGACCATGCTACATTTTTTTTTTTAAGCACCTTTTCCCTTAGGTTCTAATCCCATGCTGGTGCATCTATTATTTTAGAGGTACAAATACTCTCAACCACATGCCTGCAACAAGTGTATTTTTTAAACAGCTTCTGGGATTTCTGATTTGCATAAAGTAGGAAAGTCCTTTTAAAAACAGCAACTCATTCCCTAAGATCTGAAAGGTGAATGGAACCTTACATCGAGTAAAATAATATGGGAAGTGGGAAAAGGCAAGAAAGCAGCTTAACAAAATGAAAGTTAATGAATTTGCATTGGATGCAGTGGTGCTGACATAGGATTCTGATCTACCAGTGGCTTCTGCTAGTGGAAATGGGCAAAGCCTTGCAATTTCCAGATATTCACCCATCTGCAGTCCCCCTCTCCCAATCTTCTCAAGAGCACTGTGAGACCCTTTGTGTGGTCGGTGGGGCAGCGGACTAAGGGAAAATTGGCAACTGCCAGCCCTCCTTTGAGTCTTGGGAACTTTTACAGGATCAGAGAGCCTTCCATCAAAAGGAGACACAACTAGATGCAACCCACTCTCCTTTTGCATTTGCCCTACACATGCTCTGGCCCCTTTAACTTCCTTAGTCCAGCTCATACTGTGAGCTTTCAACATCCTCTAATCTTGGTTGCTTTTGCAAAAAGTACACGAAGCATAGCATTTTCTCTTCAAGGGAATAAACCCATGTTTAGTTGTTACCTCTCCATTTAAAAACAAAACAAAACATTCCACACTGCAAAACAGAAAATATTAGGCTTGTTCAATTTAAAGGCAGGCCTACAATACATTTTAGAATCCTCATCAGACTTGGTGAACTTTTAAGAAAACATGCAAGTATACTTTGAATGTTGCTTCAGTGTGCACAGAATTTTAAGCCCGCAAAGGCATTCATCTATACACCAAGAACTAGGTTGCTGTCCATTTTGTCAGAAAATGTGTTTTGGAAGGTTCTGCACACCGTGGCTTCCAGACACATTCAACCAGGGCAAACAGCTTAGGACCTAATTATCTCTGGGACTGTGTCATCTTGTGGGGTTTCCACTGCCACTCCAAATCTTCAAACGAGGCTCTGCTTTCAGTCCTATTTTATGCAGTGCCTAGATTCATCTCCACCTGTTGCAGCCAGGGCCTTGTCAGGAAAAACAACCCATATACTTCCTGCAGAAATTTTAAGAACTTTTCAGAGAGGCTTTGGACATTCCAAATGAGATTCGTAGCCATGCTCCACTGCAACTGCTGTCTCTCAGATGTTGCTGTTTTAGGCTGCTGTCTGACACTCACTGGGAGAGGGTTTCAGGGATCATAGTACAGATTGCATCTACCCCTCCCTCCCACACACTTTGGAGACTGAATGCCAATTTGGGAGAGGGAGATTTGACACTGGGATATCCAACAGGGATGGCTCTTCCAGCCCAACTGATGTAAAAAGCATGAGGAAGGGGGCGTGCCAGGAAGCAGCTGAGATTAGAAGCTCTGCATGTCTCATGCCCTCAAGCCAGCAGGAGGGGGAACTGACATGTTTCTGCATGCGTCTAAATCTCTCTGGAATGAAAGGCATTTAAAAAGAAA